GAGCCAGAGTTTGTTGGAATTTTTCTTTGGAACCAAGAAGATGGGGGAGTAGAATCCTGGAGTGACGGGCGATGGACCTAGGAGCTCTATCGCGAGTTTGTCTAATAGCGTACCTATTGTGGATTGCAAAGTCTGAAGCTGGTCCACAGCATATGAGTGATGAGCCGGATGCGACGTCAGAGATGGACTGCCAATAACGGGTAGCTGATAGCCGTGAAGTAGCAGGTTGGTGACGTACGGATCTTTGAGGATGGTCCAATTCGGGGCGAAGATCTGCAATCTCCCGCCTACCGGAGTGTTGTAAATCGGAACGACTGGGGGCGGGAGGTCCCAATCAAGCGATTGTCTCAAGCCGTCATTGCTTCCCGGAGCTGGTCCCTGGGCCAGAGTTGGTCCTGGGGGGACGACGGGAGGAACCACCATGGCCAGATCTGTTTCCTCTGCCACGGCCTTGAGTGGATGCGCCACGAAAAAGATAGCGTAAATCCGGATTGGTAGGGGTGAACTGTGCAGTTCGATGCTGTTATAATGAGCCCTGGAGCTGTGACTTCTGTATCTTTAACAGTTCAATCGAGACTTGAAAGTGGGTTTCTTTATCAACTTTATTAGATACTTCTTGGATGCTACCATTGAAGAGGGAGTCAGTAAACCAAGGCTGGCGAAACAGTTCTGTTTTTAAATCGCTCCTCCCATGAAGAGATGTTAAGGGGTCCACGTCGGCGAACAGCAAGAGTGTAGCCCAAAAAATGAGACAACTGATCCAGGATAATTTGGAACTGGTCCAGAGCTAAAGTCATGCATCCTTGGATGTAAGCGTCTTGATCAGAGTAAGTATGCTCCAGAGTAGTGTTTACAGCATCGACTGCTGCAATCACGCAACTAATAGATGGCAACGTCTTTCTCACGGCTGAGTACATGTGAGCCAACTCTCGGTCCACAATAAGGTAGGGCGAAGCAGCTTGTTTGCCACACAGGGTTCCAATATCCTCATCAACTATTGGAGCCGTAGAGATTTTTGTTAGGCCGTAGACATGAGAGGTAGAAGGATTATATCTGGGAGCAGAGAATCCGTCCTTAATTCGTTTCAGGCTCTTGAAACCATAATTTAGTGTACTGGATAATTTCAGAATACAAGGTCGAGGTGGTAGGATGATGGTAGACCAATCCCGGTTCCTAAGAGTATAAGAGTGATCCAGGTCATCTGTTGAAGTACTCAAGGGAAGTTGGATCTTCTCAACAATCCAAAGGAGTACCTGAGGTGTCTCAACTGCTGCAAAGCTACCCCCAGGGGTAGATAACTCAGAGTGAGCGGGAGATGCAGGCATGGCTATTTGGACTGGATCAATCTCAGGAGGTGGACCAGATGAAGAGCCAGAACGTCGGTCAGAGGAACTGTATCGAGATCTCAACGTGGTAAGAACCGAAGTAGGTTGGTAAGCCGGTGATCTGGATTCCCTAGTAGGGCTAGGTGATCCGATATGATATGAAGAACTAGTCCGGGTCGCTGTAGTTCTAGTTGGTGATCTGGTTCTGAAGGGAGCTCTGGTTCGACCATCTGAATACGATCGGCCATGAGATGTGGATCTGTACTGTGATCCCGATTGGTCAATGGCTCTGTAAGGTGATCTAGATCGTATAGGTGACCTGGGTTGGTAAGATGATCTGGATTTGTAAAGTGATCTGGACGGATTCGATGCACTAACTGGAAACTGTGATCGTGATCTGGATCTATAAGGTGATCTGGATCGAACAGGTGATCTGGTTTGCAGTTGGGATCTGGCTTGATTTGGTGGTCTGGATTGGTTAGGTGATCTACTTTAATGTTGTGATCTGGATCGGTTCGGTGATCTGGATCGGTCTGGCGATCTACTTCGATGTTGTGATCTGGATCGGTTAGGTGACCTAGATCGGTCCGGTGATCTGATTCGAAGTTGTGATCTGGATCCATTCCGTGATCTGGATCGATTAGGTGAACTGGATCGGTCCGATGATCTACTTCGATGTTGTGATCTGGATCGGCTAGGTGATCTGGATCTGTCCGGTGATCTGATTCAAAGTTGTGATCTGGACCCGTTTGGTGATCTGGATCGGTTAGGTGATCTGGATTGATCAGGTGATGTGGATCGTAGTTGTGCTCTGGATCGTGACTGTGATCTGGATCGATCTGGTGATCTTGATCGGCACGGTGATCTAGATTGGGCTTGTGATGGTGATCTGGATCGTGAAGGTGATCTAGATCGTTGTGGTGATCTAGAATGATGTGACGATTTGGATCGGCGATTAGGTGACGAAACCTGAAGTGTTGATTCATGATGAACGTCCCCCGGCCACGGTGTTGTAGCCAGCTCCGTCCGGTTCAATGAACTGTGGGGGGACAGTTGGCTGGTTGAATGCGGTTGGCCAGGCTCCAAACAAACTGAGACAGTCGAGGGAATATGTACCGATGATCTGGGAGATGATAGTGTCGATCTGAGGTCCGCTGGTAGTGTAGATGGGACAGGCAACGAAGAATTGTCGATCACAACCACCCGCGAGTGATCTGACGCTATGGATGGAGGTGATTGATGCGTACGTAATGGGTGCCGAACATCCTCAGATAAGTAAGAATCTGATGAAGAGTCCATAAAATCCTCTTGAACCACAGACGTCTGCTCTCTTGCGTGAAGGTACGATTTTCTGTCGCTGTAACTTGATATGCTTGGTGGGAGTGGGATCAGATTCTGTTGATTTCCTGTCCCTATCGGCGATTCTCCGGAGCAAACACGAAGGTAGGCCTTAAAATCCTCATCTTTTAGTGAATTACACTTGCCACATCGTTTGTTCCAGTTACATTGTCCAATATAGTCACTGCAAGACGAGTGAGGGTCAAGGGACGAATAATTTGTCTTGCATTGAGCACAAACTTTCCTTTTCCTTGACTGATTATCAGTTTTCCCCATGATGTTAGGGTGAAATAATGTCCCTAATATACAGCACGTCCACACAGTCGTGCGACAAGAAAGAGAATGATCATTCAAGGTAGTCAAGTGGGCAATTAGTGGAGCATGCTGCAAGCTTTATTAGGGACTAGGAAGCTAATTAAGGAGAGCAGCATGGAGTGCACGGGCGAATTGAACAAAGAGGTCTATGGAAAAAAGTTTACAGTCGCTCCACTAAAAGTCGAAGCAAGAGAGAGAGGTGCAAGTCGTGAGATAGGATAAGTTTAAAAATATGATAAATATTTATTAATAATACAGATTGTGCAGGGAAAAAAATCTATCCCACTGTTCAGGAGAACTGTGTTAGTAAACAGAATTTTTCGCGCGTTTAATTTCTGAAATACAAACATTTGCGCAAACGTGATTGTTACTGTGTGAAACACGTTGAGTTGGGCTTGCATGAGATGATTTCGAGGAGTTTTTGGATATAGCTGTTAAGACTTTGCACTTGAGCGGTCATGCTTTCAACGATCTCTACTTAAAATTAGTATTAGAACTTGACTGGCGAGAGGTCGTATATTCGATGGCCTATCGTTACATTCGAATCAGAACTTACCAGCTGATAGGTTGCATTTGCATTGTCTATCCCCCTAGATTTTTTTTACAGATTACTTTTTATGCATCAAAGTATTGATATAACACTCTTTTAACATCGATAGTGCCCCCTTATTAAGAAAAGTTAACTACGTCCCTGCTATCATTAGTTTTTCGTTGTAGTCACAATAGGGCGATATCGTTGTGAACAGTGTACCAACTGTATGTACATACATTTAGGCAAAACAGTGTTGAGAGTTTATTTTATGGAATACTGTGTCACACCTACGTTGTTCGCAACACAAGACAGTGGGACTATTCTGCATGGGCGGAAATGGGCTTCACACATTGTACCCATGTGGGGATCGAACCCGGGTCTTCAGTGTTACGAGTGAACCAGTAGGCTGTCCCAGGGAAATAACATCGGTTTAATTATCTATCACCGTACATTTGTGAACAATATCTTCTTGTTTAACCCTATGAAATTATCTTGATTCAAGTTTTTATTAAACTTAAAGTTGGAATGGTATTCTTGGTGCCATGTTTTTCTGTTGGTTGTTTCACGGAACACTCAGCAATATTCCCTAAACGACTGTGGTCTGTAGACAGTGAAATCACGACCAGACAAACCAGTGGTTGACATTGTGAGCCACCATCTATACCATCTGGTTACAATGACATGAAATCCACTAACTGACTATCTGATCACTTAGTTTTCCACTTTGGTCACTCAACTGCTCACCACAACTTAAGTAATCTATCCATGACTCCTAGCAGTGATTTCGAGTGTTCATTCTTCTCAAATTTGAGTGAAGACTTTAAGAGAGACATAAAAATGCCTGATCAGTTAACCATTTGGTCACCTCTCTCACCACCCCCATGAATAGTGTAATAAAGTACAGTGCTGTACCCCTGAACTATTATGCTGTTCTGAACTATTATAGTTAAAGCATGAGTGAGTGAGAAAGTTTAGTTTTAAGCCACTTCATCAATATTCCAGCAATATCACGGTGGGGAGACCAGAAATGGGCTTCACACATTGTACCCATGTGGGGAATCAAACCCGGGTCTTCAGTGTGATGAGCGAACACTTTAACCACTAAGCTACTCCACCGCCCTAGTTAAAGCATGAAGATGCATGATTGGTTAGCAAACATTGCCCTGTTGCTGTTTAATTGTGAGTCTAGCTCAGATTTTTTTTCCGTTGAAAAAGTTAAACATAATGTTTCCACCAGTGATGTTAGTCGACTGAAGAAACTGCAAACCAGTTAATGGTGTGATACAGGGTTATTTGTATTATAGGAGACTGTACCATGACAAAGACAACTGACATGCTTTGTGATGTTGGTTACCAAGGCTATGATTGATTTTCAAGGGTGTAGATTAGAATGGTGAGATGTAATGCAAGAAGTGTACTTTATCACCTGAAAAAGTACTGCCGTGACTTTGATCTTTCCACAAAGCATCTTAGAAAAGCAGATAACATACCTGGAACGGGTTTATGTGTCTCTTCTTCTTCTACATCCTCCTCTTCTTCCTCCTCCTCTTCCTCTTCTTCATCGTCCTCTTCTTCCGTCTCTGTCTTACCCCCCTCAGACTGCTGTCGCTGGACCAGCTGTAGAGTTGTGGTCTGGAAGAGTGAGAGTGAGTGAGGTATATTCTAATGCAGCTCTAAACAACATTAGTTATATCACAACATGTTTGACATAGGTTGAAATCCTGAAGTGATTCAGTCATTTGACATTTATCGATGAAGTCAAACCCAGAGGCATGGGTAAGTTCTGAAAAGATTAGAATCACCACACTGATAATATTGGGATTCAAACCATTATTGATCCAACAAAGGGAAACAACTCTGCATATCAAACTGCTCTGCCTGACTGTGGGCACTGCTACTCCTCCATTGAACATACTTTACATTGACCACTGCATGCTATTCTAAAGAGAAGGAAAGTCCAAACTAATTCATGTCTTGAGTTTTCTGTAATTGTTACCTTGATGGCGTTGAGGATGGCATTGAGGACTTCTTCCCCTGTGTACGACTCCTCCGCATCAAACTCCTCCCTCAGTCCACGATACACACTGTTCATGATCTTCTTCACCTGTAACATTATACAACATAATTACTGGGGCGGTGGGGTAGCCTAGTGTTTAAAGCGTCCGCTAGTCACGCCGAAGGCCAGGGTTCGATTCCCCACATGGGTACAATGTGTGAAGCCCATTTCTGGGTCCCCCGCCGTGATATTGCTGGAATATTGCTAAAAGCGGCGTAAAACCATACTCACTCACTCCCACTTAATTACTGCGTCCAACTTCATCCATTTCCGATGTGCTTGCCTGCGCTATAGTGTGCAGTATTCTTGAATGCAACATTATACTCAATTTCAAATCACCTCTCCTATAACTGATTTTGTTTTGTTTGTCAATCCAGACAATCCAGTAATCATGAGCATCAATTTGCTATGAAAACCCACAAGCTATCATGTGAAAATTACCTGAAGATTACATTACAACCCATTTCACATCAACTCTCCTACGAACACTCCAACCCATGAAGGTCCGGGTTAGATATTGATCTTCAGTAACCCATGCTTGTTGTAAGAGGCAACTAACGGGATCGGGTGGTCAGGCTCGCTGACTTGGTTGACACATGTCATTGGTTCCCAACTGCGCAAATCGATGCTCATGCTGTTGATCACTGGATTGTCTGGTCCAGACTCGATTATTTACAGACCGCTGCCATATAGCTGGAATATTGCTCTCACTCACTCACGAACACTCCATTGCACACAGACCCTCAGTCTCTGCTCACCTCTCCCACAACATCGGCAGACACGGGTGCCTGGGCTCCACCAGAGGGCGCTGCAAACTGCTTGAGTTTCTGGACCTGTACCATGAGGCCCTGTATCCGCTCCTCTGCCCCATCCCGCTCCTCCTCCAGCTCACTGATGCGGTCCTCGTACCTCTCCTTCATCGCCGCAGCCTGACTCCGCAGGTTGTCATACTGTCAAATATATACACACAAGTAAGTTGTCATACTGTCAAATACATACACACAAGTAAGTTGTCATACTGTCAAATACATACACACAAGTAAGTTGTCATACTGTCAAATATATACACACAAGTAAGTTGTCATACTGTCAAATACATACACACAAGGAAGTTGTCATACTGTCAAATACATACACACAAGTCAAATACATACACAGGGAAGTAAGTTGTCATACTGTCAAATACATACACACAAGTAAGTTGTCATACTGTCAAATACATACACACAAGTAAGTTGTCATACTGTCAAATATATACACACAAGTAAGTTGTCATACTGTCAAATATATACACACAAGTAAGTTGTCATACTGTCAAATATATACACACAAGCAAGTTGTCATACTGTCAAAATCACATACACACATACATACACACAAGTAGAAGTTGTCATACTGTCAAATACATACACACAAGGAAGTTGTCATACTGTCAAATACATACACACAAGTAAGTTGTCATACTGTCAAATACATACACACAAGTAAGTTGTCATACTGTCAAATACATACACACAAGTAAGTTGTCATACTGTCAAATACATACACACAAGTAAGTTGTGCTGTCATACACACAAGGAAGTTGTCAAGTAAGTTGTCATACTGTCAAATACACACAATAAGTTGTCTTGCTTTGCTGTCAAATATATACACACACAAGTTGTTACTGTCAAATACATACACACTGTCAAATGTCAAATATATACACACAAGTAAGTTGTCATACTGTCAAATACATACACACAAGTAAGTTGTCATACTGTCAAATACATACACACAAACAAGTTGTCTTGCTGTCAAATACATACACACAAGTAAGTTGTCATACTGTCAAATACATACACACAAGGAAGTTGTCATACTGTCAAATACATACACACAAGTAAGTTGTCATACTGTCAAATACATACACACAAGTAAGTTGTCATACTGTCAAATACATACACACAAGTAAGTTGTCATACTGTCAAATACATACACACAAGTAAGTTGTCATACTGTCAAATACACACACAAGGAAGTTGTCATGTCAAATACATACACACTGTCAAATAATACATACACACAAGTAAGTTGTCATACTGTCAAATACATACACACAAGTAAGTTGTCATACTGTCAAATACATACACACAAGTAAGTTGTCATACTGTCAAATACATACACACAAGTAAGTTGTCATACTGTCAAATACATACACACAAGTAAGTTGTCATACTGTCAAATACATACACACAAGTAAGTTGTCATACTGTCAAATACATACACACAAGTAAGTTGTCATACTGTCAAATACATACACACAAGGAAGTTGTCATGCTGTTATACACACAAGTAAGTTGTACTGTCAAATACATACACACAAGTAAGTTGTCATACTGTCAAATACATACACACACAAGTAAGTTGTCATACTGTCAAATACATACACACAAGTAAGTTGTCATACTGTCAAATACATACAGTAAGAAGTTGTCATACTGTCAAATACATACAAGTTGTCATACTGTCAAATGTCAAATACACACACAAGTAAGTTGTCATACTGTCAAATACATACACACAAGTAAGTTGTCATACTGTCAAATACATACACACAAGTAAGTTGTCATACTGTCAAATACATACACACAAGTAAGTTGTCATACTGTCAAGTAAGTTGTCATACTGTCAAATACATACACAAGTAATACACAAGTAAGTTGTCATACTGTCAAATACATACACACAAGTAAGTTGTCATACTGTCAAATACATACACACAAGTAAGTTGTCATACTGTCAAATACATACACACAAGTAAGTTGTCATAGTTGTCTGTCAAATACATACACACAAGTAAGTTGTCATACTGTCAAATACATACACACAAGTAAGTTGTCATACTGTCAAATACATACACACAAGTAAGTTGTCATACTGTCAAATACTGTCATACACACACAAGTAAGTTGTCATACTGTCAAATACATACACACAAGTAAGTTGTCATACTGTCAAATACAAACACACAAGTAAGTTGTCATACTGTCAAATACATTCACACAAGTAAGTTGTCATAAGTTGTCATGCTGTCAAATACATACACACAAGTAAGTTGTCATACTGTCAAATACATACACACAAGTAAGTTGTCATACTGTCAAATACATACACACAAGTAAGTTGTCATACTGTCAAATACATACACACAAGTAAGTTGTCATACTGTCAAATACATACACACAAGTAAGTTGTCATACTGTCAAATACATACACACAAGTAAGTTGTCTTGCTGTCAAATACATACACACAAGTAAGTTGTCATACTGTCAAATACATTCACACAAGTAAGTTGTCTTGCTGTCAAATACATACACACAAGTAAGTTGTCATACTGTCAAATACATTCAGACAAGTAAGTTGTCATACTGTCAAATACATACACACAAGTAAGTTGTCTTGCTGTCAAATGAATACAGTTTAATTACTTGTTTACTGTTAAAGAAATACTGGTTCCCATTGTATTTCGCAGCCAAACAAATTCTGCAATTAATGATTATAATTTTTGCAACAACATTTGATAATTCTGCACACAATTCTGGACACTTTTAAGGTTTGTTTTCATGGTTGACTTATTGTAGCCATTTTCATGATCAACTTCATATTGAACAAGTGTTTGCCACTGATATGGCAATGTCCCTGCCGCTTAAGAATGGAATATCTATATTTACTACTTTTTATTTTTTGGTCACATATAAGATGCCTTGTATAATCACCCAATGTAGGCTGTCAACATAACTGAAAACATTGGGTGCAATGTTTTATGAGATATCGCGTTTAAATAAGTTTGAAAAGCTGTCAAAGTGTTGTGGTGACCTTGCAGATAAAGTCAAGGTCACCCAAATAAAATGGTGTCTGCATAATCCCCCAAAGAAGGCTGTCACCAAATCTGAAGACATTAGGTACAACAGTCCATCAGAAGATGATATCAGTTACTTAAAGTCCAGCTTTGATTTTAACAAAGATGGTTGAAAAAAAAAGTGACAAAAATAGTGCAAAGAAAATAAGGCAAGGTCACTTGCAAAGGCACCACTTTGGCATCTGCCTCAGCATATCTGCCAAGTTTTGCTGAAAAGATATTAAGAAGTTTTCGAGTTGTGTCTGAAACCAAACCCACCCCCCCTTTGAGAATGTCTGTAGGCTGTCACCAAATTTGACAGATATTGGATACAACAGTGCATGAGATATCTCACTTGAACAAAGAGTTTGCTGAAAGTGTTCAAAGTGTCCCAGTTGTGACCTTGAAAATAAGGTCAAAGTCACCCTAATCAGTCCTGTTGTCTGCATAAAAATCCCCAATGTAGGCAAAATCAAAGGCACCAATTTAAAGACTGTTTGATATGTACAACAGTTTTCTTGAGATGAACGGTTCTTTGAGTTATGCAAGAATCAAGACGTACCCTCATTTGGGCTGCAGAATACATACTGAAAAATAAAAATGCCAAAAAATCTGTAAATAGCAAAAGTGCACAACTTTAGATCACATGTGAAATTCTGCAGCAGTGCAGCATATTGAATGTTCTGCAAATTATTCCGTGAAACCAAACCATAGAATCACGACTGACTGAATCGCTTCCTGAGTTTGGTAGCAAAATGCACCACCTTAGGTTATGCAATATTCCAGCAACATTTGAGTTATGGGGACACCACATTGCTTCACACATTGTGCCCATGTGGGGATTTGTGGTGGGTGTTGAAGATGAGGTCAAGGTCGCTTTAATCGATTGGGTCTGTGTACCGCCCCAATGGAATCATGTCACCAACAGTGGAGACATTGGGTACATACAGTTTGAAACAACTGTCAAGAATCGGTCAAAGAAACCAGGGCAACTGTACACTTTGCCTTCAGCCACAAGAAAGTGAGCCGAATATCCAAATTTTCAAGCTTTTTGAAACCCCTGAGGTCCTGTTCAGTGACTGAGTTTGACATGTCTACAAACTGAATGAAAGATAAGGGCTTAACAGACTAACGAAACTGGGGCAAATTTTGATTGGATTGAGCCTTCTGCTACAAATCCAACTGAATATCCAAAGTTTCACTTTTCTGAAACCCCTGAGGTCCCTTTCAGTGACTGAGTTTAACATGTCTATGTTAAGAACAATAAGTAGCTGCTAAGGTTCTTCTTCAAAGTAATCATGATAGTCAGCAGTGCAGACCTGCTGGAACACCTCACCTTGTCCTTCCACATGGAGAGATCCTCCACCTGCTCCTCCAGTTGGGACACTCGCTGCTCACTTGAACCACCCATACTCTTTGCCGTCTGCAGCTGCAACACACATGTTACCATGGTTATGGAAAGATAACTTTCTTTTGACAACCTGGGTATTTTCATCATGGCTGCAATTGCTGATTTGTGTATGAACATATTCAACATACATTTCAACATTGCCAAGTCTGAACATATCCATCTGCCCCAAAATATCTCCCCCTATGTTTGTTTGTATGTATGTTGTTTAATGCCACACTCAGCAATATTCCAGCTATATGGCAGCATTCTAAATATTCGAGTCTGGGTCGGACAATCAAGTGGTCAACAGCATGAGTGAGTGAATTTAGTTTTACGCCATACTCAGTAATATTCCAGCTATATGGCGGCAGGATCAACAGCATGAGCATTGATCTATGGAAACAGGATATGAGGACATGTGTCAAGCAAGTCAGTGAGTCTGACCACCCGATCCTATTGGTCACCTCTTACGACAAGCATGGGTTGCTGTAGACCAATTCTAACCCAGATCGTTATAGGTTTCTCCCTATGTCTGTTCACAAGTCACCCTACCTTGTTCTCAATTTCCTGTATCTTCTGCTGCAGTTCCCGCTTCTCCTCCTGTACATCCCGTCAAGGCTCGGTTGTGTTTGTCCGACGCCGCCTTCAGCAGCTTGTCACACTTCTTCTGCCACTCTCCAGCAATGTCCTCCTCCAGCCTGGCTGCCTGTGAGGGTACATCAATACAGTGCCACAAACCGATCAAAGAGCAACAACAGTCCAAAGACTTTGTTAAAGGAATACCAAGTTGTATGGATAGTCAACTTCTTTATTGCAATGCAGGCGACGTTTACAGTGCAAGGGCTTGATAACGGTGTTAGTACCTACACTGAAACGTCGCACTCATTGCAATAAAGAAGTTGACTATCCATACAACTTGGGCTTCCTTCATCTATACAACTTCTAAAATGCCTCTCAAAGAAGACTTTGTTAAAGTTGATTTAGTTGTACGATGGCTTTGTTGACACACTATCACAGCGCATTTGAATATTGTTGAGCCTAGTCAGGAACCACCAACTCCAAACCTTTTCCACATTTTCTTGCATAGCTTTCGACAGTACCCTGATGCTGCCTATATTTTAGCCAATAGGGAAAATCTGTTACCATAGATAAAACATTAGTTTTGTTCATTTTGCAAATTGAAAATACCAAATAAAAACAATCAAACGAAAAAGTAACCATCCAGGTATATATTTTTTGACTGGCTCATATGGAAGACAAATATGGGGTTAGAACATCAGTGTTTATGGGTTAGTTCACTCGCTGAGTTGAGGGTCCATACAGTGGCCTACCTTATCAGCAGCCTCTACATCTACATTTGTCTTCTGTTTACGTAGCCGGTCTCGTAAAGACTGGATATCACCCTGAATACGAACAATGTTTAACAATAAAGACAATGGTCAGTTATCTTATGTTTGCATGCATGTGTGTTGTAGCAATCATCATAAGAATACTCCAGATTCAGTGACACAGAGCACTGTAGCTCACTTGAATCTTTCATTGAAATTTTCTATCATTAAAGTGCAAATATATAATAAGGTATTATGACAGTTGTTTGTACAGAGCTGTTATTATCATAACACATATATTAAATATAATAATTATAATAATAATGTGTCCATTTATATAGCGCCAAACTCCACACTAGGTATGCTCATAGCGCTAACAATCAAGGCACAGCACATTATTACCCCGGATAACCCGAAGCTGCCTGTTAGGCGCTAGAAGGTTATAGTCATATGACTTTTTTCCACCGGGTACCCAAATACATGTTGATTGATTACTTTGTGTCTGAAATATGTCATATTATACAAAAATATGGCAAGCATAATCAAAATCCATATTCATTATTCCTGGTACATGATATTTCTTATATGGAAATGTGAGTGTAGTAATCTTTATATGATAATTCTCCCACTGCTTCTATGTCAGAAAAAAGAATGTCATATTTACCTCTAAACTGATCTTCATATCTTCCATTTCTTCTTCCAGTTTTCGCCTCTCCTCATTTGTCTTCCTCTTTCTGTCATTCAGATTCTAAACAAACATTCCACATGTAATAATCCACACTCCGGCACAGCGTTGACTAACATAACATCACTGCCAGGCTAATTTGCATATCACGTGACCGGACTTTTCTCTTGTTTGTAATCAAACGCGCATATTCATAATAAGAAGAGAGTGGGCTCACGAAAGCTTTTCAGCGCTCTCTTCATAATGTTTTACATTGTTACATATATATTCTTCCACAACTGCGACAGTTAGGTCTATGGCAGTACATATTTAGATATCAAAGTGGCTGCACCGTTTGCTCTCCGTCGGCTTCGATGACTGCACGTGGAGCCGTACAACCTATGTAAACAAAGGATCGCTACGCAAATCGAAATAGTGTTACATGTTTTTGGATATTTTCTCAGTGAAACTTAACCATTCTATTAAAGATGTTTAGTTAGATGTGTAGACTCGTCAAAAATAAAAGAGTAAAAGAAATCTGTACATTATATTGAATGGACATTGCAAGATGTGACGAATCGTCACATTTTTGTGGCCTGTGGCAGAGGTACTATGCTGGCTTGCCGCATGGAACTCTGGGTAGGAGAGTGGTAATAATCATCAGAAAGAGGACTTATTTAGTGTATGCTGTTTGATGCTGCATTAAGAAATATTCCAGCTGCATAACTATTCTGCTCCTGGACTTGATCAGTTACAACTTGAATAGTTAAGTGGATACCTTCTCCATTGTGTTGTAGGCGGACTTGAGGTCGGTCTGTTCTTCCTGCATGTTGTTGAGCTGGCTCTCTAGAGTCTTCCTGTACTTCTTCTCCTCTCGTAGCGCTGTAGACATGTCCTCGACACGCTTCTCATCCTCTGTTTGGTTATAAAGACAGTGAAGCATTGAAGAGGATACTTTGCAAAGAGGTGGATCCAGGAATTTTAAAAAGGGTGTACACTAGGGATCTGATTGTTATAAGAAATGGATGTAATTGTTTCAAACATGACAAGACTTGAGTACCTAAGATGAAAACTGTGTCTTTTTGTTATAGCATTATGTCTGTCTAAATGTCTTAAGAAACTGTTTCTCTTCAATGTCTGCAACATGTAATTAATGTCAATATGGTAGTTGTCTCCCTTGGCCAGGTACTTGATGTAGGACTTGGTCAAGTAATTCCCACCTGTGCCTGAGAACCTGTGCACACACTATTCGTAAGTCAGTAAGAGAACATTGTACTTCCCAACCTACAGTATTCCTCTCAAAGAAGAAACCCTTGTTGAGTTTTTTATTCATAGGACAGGTGACCAGCTGAACAACGTTTAGACATTTTATTAATTACAAGATGAAAAGAAAGTGTCAATGTATCAAGTGTTTTTATTGACAAACTTCATATATAACAATTTCTTTCATTTTGTGAGTGTGACGTTTCGATACAGATTCTTGTATCTTGTATTGTACCATTGCCAAGCAGGATGTAACATGAAGTTGAAGGGCTGTAAACTTATTATACAGATTTGACAGAATATTATAAGTACCTTTATAATAAGGTTATGATACGATACTAGTATATGACTGCCAAGACCTGTCTTCAACAGCTAATCATTCAATTCAAGGCCTGAATTATATTTGTGCCAGTGAAACCAATTACAGGTGCACATACCGGCTCTCTGCAGCCTCTTTCTAGCTGAGTTGAAAGCGTATCTCAACTCAGTGGACAGATTCACCTGCAGGGACAGACAACAGAAATGTGGCATGTCAAGTCCGGGACCACACAAACCAGTTTTTTATGAGCAAAATGGTGAGTATGAGTCAACCAGGCGAACTTGGGGGTTTGTAAAGTAGCCAATATTGTCTCAAGCCTCTTAATATTTCAGATAGTACTGAGAGCTTGCCCAACCTTTCTAGCAACAATCATGTAAGTCCGGGCTTTTTTAAAATGGTCACTTCTGTCAACGAAAGCATTCAACGAACATCGTTTTTATAAATCCATCATATAGCCATAAATATTTTTAGACTTGTGGTTAACGCTAAATATTAACCTTGACTATGGCCTTGGGCAGAAAAAGTCAAATGACCATCATCATCATCATCATCATCATCATCATCATCATCAATAAAACAATTTCTTGTGAATAATTGTTGTGAATTATTTACTAATCTGCTATCCCTACTACAATACTACTGATTATTGCTAAATGTGAAATCATAATCGCTGACTCACTTTAAAAAATGCAATAATCTTGAATGTCATGTTTACTCTATTCAACCTCATCTCACCTATCAATCTAGATGTTTTCACCATGTACAGCAGGGAACAGGTCAAAAGGGCCGCATGACAAAGAAAAGTCAAAAGGGCCGCAAACCCCTAGTCAAAAGGGCCTCAGACCGCAAGTGAGACTTTTCCGTTTTGCGGCCCTTTTGTCATGCGGCCCTTTTGACTAGGACCCTGTACAGCATTACATTACAGCATCCTCATTACAAAGGTCTCAGTGTATGAGGCTAGTTGAGCTTACCTTCTCTTGTTCGAGTGTCAGCACCCTCGCCTGTGATTGGTTGGCGGAATACTTGTAGCCCTCGTTCCGCTCCTCCAGGAGAGTGTTGCTTTGTTCCACAAACCTAACAACAGACATTGTCTCTGTACTCATGAAGAAGAACTTCACTCAAGCCAGCATCCCAATTTTCAATGCATCTAATCACTATGAATGCCATATTTTTGCTTCTTATGCAATATACATGTTCAGCATTCATTCCACAAATCTATTATCGTATATTGTTTTAGATACTGTTATGTTATTGTAATTCTGCATTTTAGTAACATGTATGTACTTACTTTTGATTTTTCTGCAGAAGTTCTGCAATCTTTTCATTTTGAGTTTCAATTTTGCCACTTTTTTCATATACATCTTTCTTTAAAGTTTCATTTTCCTGAAAAGAAAGAGCATGGTATACAAAAAGAAACAAATGTATTTCACTATCATAGCATTGCATATCATGAAAAACTTCTTATAACATAGCTCAAAGCTATTAACAGTGCAAAAAAAAATCTACTTCATATTCTAGTTCCCATTCCAACATATGCTACTGACACCACTTGTCCATATTATACGAAGTTATGACATTATTTCTATATCATAGGGAGTTATGAGATGGCAGTCATGTGTAGAGTCAGATTGTCCTTGTTTAGATTCATACATGGCTATACAACTGCAGTCTGCGAATAACTGTAAGAACTGGACAAACCAGTGACTGATATTAAGAACATCCCACAAGTCTCAGGACCAGACAACCCAGTCTACTTCTTAACCTCATGTTGCTTGTCTGGTCAAAGACACATTTCGTTTCTCCACAAACAGCAGAAAATGACACACACAATAAGGCCTGTAACTCTCTAAAACTACAAAAGTTCATCTTGAAAAACAATTAGGCACTTGGCTGTAAAGTTCTCAGGGGTGGAAATAAGTTTAAAATTGCTAGTGTACTCACGGTACAGTGGCACATGTAAAGTCACTTGCCCTGATTATTTTCCCATTATACCAACCGTTTTCTTGTTGATTTTTAAATAAACAACATAATAAACATTGGAAAGTTAACTGGACACCGGTACAGTGTGATATACAAATTTGCTTGCCCGACAGAAAAAAACACTGGACTCGGACATTGGGCAATGGGTATATTTCCACCCCTGAGTTCTATACTGTCCTTACTTGTACTATCCTAGTGATATTCTGTAGCAGTACGCCAGTCTCCATGGTGGGTGCATGCATGGACTGTAGAGCTGGTGGCATACCACCTCCTGGTCCTATCACATTCACCTGAAAACACCATCAAATACTTAAAAACCAGTTGTGTTCATCCAGCAGTTTATGGGTACCTGGCAGAATGACCACACATCAATGTATTGCCACAAATTTGAAAAAAATCCCAGGTGCAGTGGTTAATATTACAGTTGTTAAAACACTGCTTTAGTCAGGTGAATATATCTCAACTCAAATATGCAACAGGAAACAATGGTGAAAGAATTTTTTTGGTTAATGCCAAATATTCCAGCTTTTTGAAGGCAGCTTGAAAATACTGATGTTCAGACAACCTAATGATTGATATGATGAGCACTGATCCATTGAAGAACAATCCTTGAAGAACACCGAGATTCCCCATGTTTAAAAGTCAGTTCTACGTCACAACAGTTTTGACTTTGGTTCACAATGAGAATGAAATCTCACCTTGTCCAGGATCCGGTCTACTTTGTCGGAGATCTTGCTGACTGAAAGTCGTATCTCTGTGTTCTGTTGCCGTGTCTCTGTGAGCAGAACAGGAGCCAGACTGTCCATGGCGCCTGAGGAACTTGTGGAGCCTGGCTGGGCTGGGGGAACACCTGCAAACAACAACCCTATGTTGAAGGAGAAAGAATTAGTCAGTGCAAAGGCAGCATTTTGGATGGATGGTTGTCATTGGTGGGAAGGAAGGTTCACAGGGATATTTTGTCAGTCAACAGTGTTGTGCTTAGCAATAAGCCATGTATGTGTAAGTAATTTAGGATAAGCTGGGTTGTAATATACTGACATTTGTTAAGCGATTTCAAATGTGTTCTAAAGGAAAGGTCAAGGGGTGAGCGAGTATGGTTTTATGCCACTTTTAGCGATATTCCAGCAATTTCATTGCAGATGGATATCTGCATGGGCTTCATACATTCACCGGGGCGGTGGGGTAGCCTAGTGGTTAAAGCATTGGCTCGTCACGCCGAAGACCCGGGTTTGAATCCCATTTCTGATGTCCCCCGCCGTGATGTTGCTGGAATATTGCTAAAAGCGGCGTAAAACCAAACTCAGTCAGTCAGTCATACATTCACTAATATTCCAGCTATATCATGGCAGGGTTTTACAAATTTCAACCATGTGGGGAATCAAACACGGGAATCTGTGTGACAAGCAAACACCTAAACCACTAGGCTACCTTACCAACCAAGGGTTAGGCTATGAAACGACATTTGAAAAAAGCAGGATTTGGTGTTTCACAACAGTATTATGTGATCGTGCGCAACAAAACATTTTCCAGCGGTTGTTGGAAATTTCAGCATATTTACTGATTACTGTATCACTTCAAGTTTAGCAACCATTTCATTTTAAAATGCATGAAAAAGCATATTATTCTGTGAAATAAAACATGCTGTGAAAATAACAGACAATAAGAACATGTGCTTCACAAGCAATTGCTCTCGACAAAACAACTTAATGGATTTCTTTTTACTTCATTGTTCTTTCAATCTAAAAAACCTATATGGCAAATTTTCAATCTGTAATCCAAAAGTTGAAAACTGTAATTCACAGTGTTTTGTTCTCTTAAGCTAAGAAACACTGAACAAATCATGTATATCTGATTAACATATAATATAATGAGAACTTTGCAATGGAATGAGAATATTAACTTGCGACACAATATTTAGTTTCAAACACCTTGCGGTTAGTTATAGTAAAGCATGTGAGAAGGGAAAAATATCAATAGAAGAGGTCACATGGTGCTGGGGACATACATAGAAATACTCCAAGGTCAAATGTAGAGATAGCATCAAAATCAGGTAACATGATACACCCAGCCTTATAACCCATACTGCATATCTTGACCATGTTGAAGGCCAGTGCTTGTTGACATCCATTAGATCATTCGATTAATACTCTAGTAGTTGGTCTATGAACATGTGGACACTGTTTCAAAAGTGAGGTGAGGTGAAAGTGGGTTTACCGTCGTGCTTGATAATATTTCGCTCATATGACGACGTGCATGCATGTGTATGTGTATGTGCGGCTGCTTGTACTAGCCCAGACTTAAGCTGGTTTTATAGTGCTAGCCCACTGAGATACCAAGCCGCAGTGAAGCATGAATACCCCACTCAGACACATTATACTGACTCCGAGCCGACCAGTCCTTGTTGTACCCATTAATGCCGAGCGCCAGGCAGGGACCAACAAGAACCATATTTTAACGTCTTGTGGTATGACGCGGTCGGGGATTGAACCCACGACCTTCCGCTCTCCCACGGACGCTCTAACCACTACACCACAGAGGCGGTCCTGTTTCAAAAGTGGGGTAAACCTTGTTAGTTTTTAGTACCCTGATATATTCTGTGGCTAGTTCCAGATCAACATGAATTTTGGAGGGTGGGATGTGTCATGCTAATTACTGGATAACACTTTTACTGCTGCTGAGAGTTCCTAAAAGATACCCGGAGAGCGGAAGGTCGCGGGTTCGATACCCGACCGCGTCATACCAAAAGACGTTAAAATATGGTACTTGTTGGTCCCTGCCTGGCGCTCGGCATTAATGGGTACAACAAGGACTGGTCGGCTCGGAGTCAGTATAATGTGTCTGAGTTGGGTATTCATGCTTCACTGCGGCATGGTATCTCAGGGGGGTAGCACTATAAAACCAGCTTAAGTCTGGGCTAGTACAAGCAGCCACACGCATGCACGTCGCCATTTCACCTCACCTCACCCATTACACCATTGTCCACCTGATGCTATCATGGGTGTTAGGTGAGGTGAGGTGAAATGAAATTTAACGTCGTACCTGAGAATATTTCGCTCATATGACGACGTGCATGCGTGTGTATGTGTGGCTGCTTGTACTAGCCACGACTTAAGCTGGTTTTATAGTGCTAGCCCACCGAGATACCATGCCGCAGTTAAGCTTGAATACCCCATTGAGACACATTATAACATAGACTTTACTAACATTTGGCCAAGGAGTAGAAAGATGTGGAAAACATGGGAAATACATAAAAAGAAATAGTGGAATATGAAAGTCAGCTATCCCGGTGTCTGGACATGCAGATGATATTCATCATGCTGAATATGTGGACACGGTTGTACCTGAATACGGCTGCTGAAGTCCTGCCTGGTATGCTGGAGGCTGGAAAGCCTGGAACAGAGTGAGTGAGTGAATTTAGTTTTACGCCGCTTTTAGCAATATTTCAGCAATATCACAGCGAGGGACACCAGAAATGGGCTTCACACATTGTGTCCATGTTGGGAATAGAACCCAGGGCTTTGGGGTGACGAGTGAACACTCTAACCACTAGGCTACCCCACCGACCCTGGAACAGAGTGAGTGAGGTAAGGTTTCATGCCTCACCAATGTTCAAGGTACATGTCCCCTGTTCGATTAAGCATACCTTGATTAATTTCTTGGCCAATCTAAAAAGTAATTTGTAAAAATGCTCCAACTAAGACCAAAACTTACACAACCATGATGACAGTCATTCTCTTCCCACGTACCTCTGTTCTGATACAGCCCTTTCATGGTGGGAGTGTTCAGGATTCGTGATTAGTTGCAATCAGATTTAGTTGTGCAATAAGCGTCGTTGTTTCAAAACTAGAACCTCTTCCCCTGCGTAATGCGCAAACGTTTCTTCTAGACAGAACTCAGTCATGCAGTGGCGAATCAATGGCGTCTCCATCGCCCTCATTGATAACGGACAAGCTAGCCATTAAATGTCTTGTGTGTAACATCTCGTCGATTGATTCCTGCACTCTCTATTGCTAATTTCTGATTTTCAGTTAAACATGAAATACCGAATCTATCCTTCGCACGTTGATCAACTAACTCCATGGCGGCCGCCATATTGGATCTAAGTCGATGTAACACGGGTTCTGATTGGATAGAAAGAAGGGAGATAATTCATGTTACGATTTTTTGCTGCTAGGGGATTTTACGAAAACCAGGAAATATGGCCGAATAAGAACAGAGGTATGACTTGAGTAACTTCTGTGGGAAGAGAATGGATGACAGTCTGTATGCTATGGATTAGTTACAGAAAGTAGATGCACTCTGACATTAATTCTTTTGAAATAGGCTCAATACAAATGTGCATGTCGATATTTCCTTGAAAGTTGACTCACAGACATGTTTGCTGCTTGCTGTAGAATGTTAGTGTTGAAGACTGCTATGGCCAGCAATCGCATAATAATTATTCTGCTGATAGCTGTTGCTGTTGCTGTAGAATGTTAGTGGGTTGGAAGACTGCTAGTTGCTGGGCCCCAGGTAGATCTGTAAATACGAAATGGGATCATTCAAACATAATAATTATTCAATAATAATAACATTAAGAATTGATTTCAATATTTACTGTGCCATGGCACACTAATATATGGGGAAGCCTGAATAAGAAGAAGAACGACAGGTGACAGGTGCTCACTGGGGCTTTGATAAAGTTAAAACCAAATCAAATCTACACACACATGTACAAACAATCCTGAAAGTCTACTCAAATGCTGTGTGGAAGAGGTGAGTTTTGAGGAGAGACTTGAAAAGGTCTTTGGATTTGGTATTTCTTAGTTTGGATGCTCATGCTGCTGATCACTGGACTGTCTGGTCCAGACTTGATATTTTACAGACCTCTGTCATATAGCTGGAAGATTGCTGAGTGCGGTGTTAAACTACAACCAACCAATTATGATAGTATATATAGGTTTCTGGTGACCAGTCTCTACCCAGACACCTGTGAAGATCCGGATTAGAATTGAACTTCAGTAACCCATGCTTGTCTTGAGAGGGAACTAACGGGATCGGGTGGTCAGGCTCGCTGACTTGGTTGACACATGTCATCGTATCCCAATTGCTTTGATCAATGCTCATGCTGTTGATCACTGGATTGTCTGGTCCAGACATGATTATTTACAGACCGCCGCCATATAGCTGACATTTTGCTGAGTGCGGCATAAAACTCACTCACTCACTCACTTACTCTGTACAAATGCTGGTTGTCCCGGGACCTGCTGTCCCATCATGACTTGAGGCTGGACAATGGGCGTGGCCATGGAGGGCACGGCCTGGGGCACAGGATGAGCTGCAGGCTTTGAGGGCAATACTGGTTTAGGTTGAGCTATGGGCTTGGGACTTTCTTCATGGAATGGCTGGGAAGCTTCCTGGAAGAAAAGAAAGTTTGCTTGAAACTTAATCGACTTTGTTATTTTTATACTTGATAATTAATGCAGAGGATGTGATTTTCCCCACAGACCTACATGCAAACACAAGATAATGTCATAAAACATGAGCGAGACAGATCAGACCCCTTGGGATCCTTAATAAACATAACATAACATGACAATATCCTTGCTTATCCAGCTTATCTAGCTTCATGTTGCTGTCCTACATGTCTGATCCTCGATCTCTGAAATCTGACATTAATTGTTTGGGGGTTTTGATCGGGGATAATCAAGTCACCAAGTCAGACCTCCTGAACTGTTTGATGTTTTGATCTCGGATAATCAAGTCACCAAGTCAGACCTCCTGAACTGATCTGAGGTTTTCGATCGGGGATAATCAAGTCACCAAGTCAGACCTCCTGAACTGATCTGAGGTTTCGATCGGGGATAATCAAGTCACCAAGTCAGACCTCCTGAACTGATCTGAGGTTTCGATCGGGGATAATCAAGTCACCAAGTCAGACCTACTGAACTGATCTGAGGTTTCGATCGGGGATAATCAAGTCACCAAGTCAGACCTGAACTGATTTGAGGTTTTGATCGGGGATAGTCAAGTCACCAAGCCAGACGTCTTGAACTGATCTGGGGTTTTGATTCAGGTGAAAAAGAAGAAAAGTACTGTATCACGATATGAATCATATTGCATCCATAGTATTAGGTTAAGTATCATATCGCAACTATCGTATTGTTAAACCTCTACAGCGGCCTATAAATATACAAGTCTGCACAGGAAAAAAAGTTAGGTATTGATAGAATCAGTGGAATTGCCATACCATCATACAACCACACAATCATCAAGGAATAAGTGAGTGAGTTGGGTTTTACGCCGCACTCAGCAATATTCCAGCTATATGGTGGCAGTCTGTAAATAATTGAGTCTGGACCAGACAATCCAGTTATCGACAGCATGAGCATCGATCTACGCAATTGGGAACCGATGACATGTGTCAACCATGTCAGTGAGCCTGACTATTTGATCCTGTTAGTTGCCTCTAACAACAAGCATGGGTTACTGAAGATCAATTAAAACCCGGATCATCATGGGTCAATCATCAAGGAACATGTGGAGGTTTACTTCAGTTTCTGTATGGGTTGAAACTGGTAAAAGGGTTTTCTTGTGTTGCCTGTGACAAATATTCACTAGATACAGTGATGTGAATCATAAACAACTCTATCACATGGGTGTAAATTAATATTAGTCAAAAACCATTTCCACATTGCACTAGCCCTTTGAATATTTTACAAGTCACAGGCTAGCAGACTAGCAGTCATATCTAACTATCAAAGGACTACACTGACAGAGCACCGATGTTCAGCAAAGCTCACATTGTGAAGATAGGCCACAGAGCTAGTGGTCTTCTAAATTCACCAGCCCATTGAAAATGTTACTAGCCACAGGCTAGCAGGCTAGCGTTCATATCTAATATAAAACAATACTAACAGAAGAATGCATCAAAGTCCATCAAAGTGTACACTGTGAAGATATGCAGTGATTATCAGCTCTATCACACCTACAAAAGATAGATCTGTCTCCTGTCATTATCAGTATCACAGATATAACAGATATAACAGATATACACCAAGTGACTGATACGTTTTGTCCCGCTACCTATAACACATCCATACAGGTAAAATCATATTGACAGTCAATATAGGAGATATGTCACATACCGGGGTATATACTGATAGGTATAAATTGTGATCACATTCTTTTTAACAAATGTGATTTTCATGTGACAAACACGCACACATATATAAAATTGCTTTAACTTTTTAAAGTATTTATATATTTAACATGCTTAATTTTCAAAATATATATGAACAACAATTATTGCTAAATGTGTTGCTATATTCATTCCCTAATAGAAACGTACCACAGTATCAAAGAAACTGATCTGGGTTAAATGATTCTTTAAACAGAATTTATATATATATTGCAGATTTCTTCATGCGCCTTTTCCACGTCAACAGATATGCTCAAGGTGCAACAATGACAGATTAAAAGAGTCTCTGACATGTATACAGCAATATGTACATGTCCAAATAGAGTTCCTAATAATACATTGAAAACAGGTACTTTTTGAGTCCTGACTTGAATGTGGCAATACTCTCAGAAACTTTCAGAATGGGTGTGAATGTCAAAAGGTGAAAAAGTCTGGTTTCCAAAAGTTTTAAGCCTGAAGTTTGGCACAAACAGAAGCTCTTGATTAGATGATCGAAGGCAGCGTTTGTTTGAGTAAGGAGTAAGCAGGTCAGAGAGATATAGGGGAGCAAGACTGTGACGGGCCATGTAGGTCAAGCAGAGGATTTGTAGTCACTTCTTGCCTGTTTCAGTTACATCATGGAATGCAGAATGAAAAGAAAATTATTTCAAGACCCTAGTTTCTTTTTAGGTTCAGTATACATATTAACAGAGAGTAAGGTGCCCTGGTCTTCCTTCGGCATTTTAGTTACAAAGTCACACGACTTATCAACCTGTCTACACCATCCATATCATCATCATAATAAATCATATAAAGTTATCTATAAGTTCATAAGATCACAGTTTATCAGTGCCTTGGAATATCCTGAAATAAAGCTAGCACACACAACATGTATGTTGAATATTAATCTCTATGTTAAAACAAAAGTACCTACTTTCCTTGAGACAAACCCACGTAGCTTCCCTGATCACATGCATAATTGTAATCATGTCACATGCCTACAGTGGTATGATACACTCCCTACAGCCTTCCACTGCTACATGATACCACGGACACAATATGTTCAATACACAGCAGGATTCATTCTTAAAATATGCCTCTTCTTTTTCAAGGGGTAGCCTAGTGATTAAATCAGTTACAACTTCTGTAAATGGATTATGTCTTGTCTCCAGAAGGAGGTGCTGCTCCCTCCATCCTCAGTGATACAGTATTTCACGCCTATAAGTAGTCAGTACCTTTACAGAATTATCATAGACTATTATTATTATTCTGTTCTTAACATCATATTTTCTTGGGGTGGTGGGGTAGCCCAGTGGTTAAAGTGTTCGCTTGTCATGAGGAGGCCTGGGTTCGATTCCTCACATGGGTACAATGTGTGAAACCCATTTCTGGTGTCTCTGGCCATGATATTGCTGGAATATTGCTAAAAGGCATGAAACCCAACTCTCTCACTCATGCTTTCTTATGATGCATCAACTAAAACTTTAATTGACAAATTTGTTTTATCTCTACATATAAGCAATGTAGGAAAGATGTAGAAAATCTAGCCTGTCCACAGGACTGGCAGGTCAAATTTTTTACCAGTCCTGCCAAAATCTAGCCTGTCCTCCAAATATAAATAAAACACCTTCGGCAGTAAATATTCAAAATGGTTATAATCATTATATATATGTCATTGGTTTGCTAAAATTGACCCGACATGAGGACGGACTAGATATTTTTTTAACCCGTCCTCCACAAAATTCATCCGTCTCGGACGTTGGGACGGGCTATCTTTCCTACACTGGTATAAGGATAAAAATTGTCAAAATATGTCACTTCTTTCTTACAGTTGCCCCACCTAAAACCTTCATGGACCCTTTTTCTTCACTATTAAAGAATCACGACATATTCAACATACATTACAGGATATAATATGTTTCTTATTTCTCATTATGCTTGCACCTTAAACTGACTTAAAATTAAATTTTCAACTTAAATTCATAATTTCCCCCTAAATTTTAACTTTATTCTCATGCAATATTGCATCATATTTATAAGAAATCATTGCTGAAATTGATTCAGGAAAGTTCACACACAAAGTGATGATTTTTTTTAATAAGCTGAATTAGAATTACGGTTACATAAATCAGCTTTGTGATATACAAAGATTTTTTTTAAACAAATCTCTCCCCTTTTACCAGAGAAGTCTAAAACAGTAATTAGAAACAATAATATCCCAAATAGCCAAAAGATATGTGCAGTCAGAACATTTTATATTCTGTGAATTTACAGATCTTCACTAAAAGAGTGAGTGAGTGAGTGAGTGAGAGTGAGTGAGCTTGGTTTTACTCCGCTTTTAGCAATATTCCAGCAATATCACGGCGGGGGATACCAGAAATGGGCTTCACATATTGTACCCATGTGGAAATTAAACCAGGGTCTTCGGCTTGACAAGCGAACGCTTTAGCCACTAGGCCACCCCACTGCCCCTTTCCACTAAAGAGGGAACTTGGGAAAGTCAAATGAAGGTGAAATCTATCTGTGTAGCACTATATATTTTTCATGTTATTTTGCACACCACTCGTGTCTACTGTTATCGTATCTAGTGACTCTAGCAGTGTCACAACAAATGTAACCTTATCTGCTGAACTGAAACCAGATACAGTTAATCTCGAGATAACCCTAGGTCAGAGGTGTTGATGATACAATTACAGACTTAAAATGTGGACAATATCAGTTTGTATGGGTAAAAGCAATATCAAATCCATCCATAAAAAGAGCATTGACACATTAAGTCTCTAATTGTTTGTTCTGTTGTATAAATTTGAAATAACTGTTCAAACTAATAGGGCTGCGCAATATAACCGGTTTACCGGTATTTACCGGTTCAGACATGAAAATGATACGTATTGCGATATGCTGATCGAAAACCGGTATTTTGACTTGCATTCGGAAAACTTCGTAACACTCGGAAATCTTTGGATATGTCCTTGTTTCATTTGTGCCAAATATTATTCATATTTTTAATTTATCATGATTAAAAGTTGTTATTAAAGCTTAATCAAGCCTAGTCATTTTGTTGTGTTTTTGCTCTATAAATCAAGAATTAACTCGATTATAAGTAGTTTTTTGTTTAAAAATACTTCATGCAATATATTGCAATACATATCGCAATACATGCTTTCGCATCGCAATATATCGCAATATGAAAATTCTCTGCAATACCCACCCCTACAAACTACTGGAGACATCTGATTGGCTTAGGTTTGGGGAAGCCTCTTTCAGGTAATTCCTTTTCTATTTTTAGCCACTCCTGGTACATTATTAACTTTGGCTTTGCATTTGTTTCTGTCCAATGACACGTGACTCGTTCTTGGGAAATCAGCAAGATGAATGTGGTAGAAATCTTTGCATTGTAAAAATGTAATTTGGACATACATCCATCATGCAGCAGTCTAGATTTGTTTTATCAATATACAATGCAAAGATTTCTGCTATATTCATATTTAGGGACAGCTATCGATACAGATCAAAGACATTGATAATTGTTAACTAAATATTGATTGATTATCGTTGAATAGCGGAGAAGTAACTTTGAGCATGAATGCCAAAAATCTTGAAAGAAATCACCATCCACATCATTTGGAGGAGTGAGTAGATACTAGTGAGTGAGTGAGTGAGGAGGAGTGATGAAAGCAGGAGCTGAGTGAGTAGGTGAGTGAGTGAGTGAGTGAGTGGAGTGAGTAGAGTTTAATTTTCAAAGCCACACTCAGCAACATTCCAGCTATATGGTGGCGCTATCGTCTGTAAATAATCGAGTCTGGCACAGACAATCACATCATTTGAGTGAGTGAGTGAGTTTAGTTTTACACCACACTCAGCAATATTCCAGCTATATGGCGGCGGTCTGTAAATAATCAAATCTGGACCAGACAATCCAGTGATCAACAGCATGGACATCGATCTACGCGATTGGGATATGATGACATGTGTCAACCATGTCAGCATGTCTGACCACCCGATCCCGTTAGTCGCCTGTTACGACAAGCATGGGTTACTGAAGTTCAATTCTAACCCGGATCTTCACGGGTAACATCATTTGAGAGTGGTGACATATTTATGCATGGATTATGAACAAAACAGCCTCTGCAACATAACTGAGAAGCAGCTTTGTGTATTGTGTGAGTAAATCAGCACTAGGTTGCATCACAATAGTTTATGTACCGATAATATCGATGACATAATTTTCATATTGATAATCATTATGACAATATTTCTGATTATCGATCTTTTTAGCCAACCCTAATCATAATATTGATTGGATGAGATATGAATAAGGTAACACCATGAAATTGGAAAGTTTATAACAAATTGTGTATCTGTACTACTTCTCCTATCTCACACACCCGACAGGAGTAATGCAAAGTATGAGATAGGAGGGAGGGTGAGTGGGTGATAGTGGAGTGAGTGAGTGAGGAGGAGTGAGGTGGAGTGAGGAGTGAGTGAGTGAGTGAGTGAGTGAGGAGGAGTGAGGAGTGAGTGAGGAGTGAGTGAGTGAGTGGAGTGAGTGAGTGAGTGAGTGAGTTACTTAAATGTTCTATTTAGCAATATTCCAGCAATATCACAGGGACACCAGAAATGGGCTTTAAACATTATGCCCATGTGGGGAATCGAACCGGTCTTTGGCATGATGAGCGAACACCTTAACCCCTTGGCTACCCCACCTCCCTTAATTGACATTCACTAGTATTGTGGTGGAACCATATGGCAGCGCCGACACTACACTCACTGTTGTTGTAGAGGAAGAAAACAAACACTGAGGAAGTTAAGTGTACTTACTGGCGCTTCTTCCTCTTCCTCCTCATCGGCCTGGGCGGCGACAGCACCAGCTAGCGGCAACATCGGCTTTCCCATCTTGGCCATCCGTGATATAAGCTTGGCCTTGTCAGACTTGGGTGACTGCCATATAACATTTATTTTATTAATTCTCTTTTAATAATCATTATCAATATTTGTCATGATCTTTATATAAACATTTTTGTTATGATTAAACACTACCACATGATCAGGAAGATATGCAAGGATTAATATCGAGATAATACCTAACCTTCCTAAAAACATTTTGTTTGTTTGTTGTTTAACGCCACACCCAGCAATATTCTAGTTATATGGCAGCAGTCTGTAAATAATAGAGTCTGGACCAGACAACCCAGTGATCAACATCATGAGCATTGATCTACAAAGTTGGGAAACAATGACATGTGTCATCAAAGTCTGACCATCTGATCCCATTAGTTGCCTCTTACAACAAGCAAGGGTTGCTGAAGACCAATTCTAGCCTGGATCTTCACGGATCCTTCTCCAACCACTAATATCTGTTATCCACAAGGTAAGGTAAGGACAGTCAGTAACTTCTCTTCCCTCGCTGGTTTCTGTCCGTGAATGAATCAGAAGCACACTAGAGAAACAACAAATATGACAGAACAGTGCAACTTACATTTGCCATCTGTTCAGAGATAGACCTGCTTCTCCCCTTTACTGTCTCCCCATCCTCCTCCACAGGCTTGTGCTCCATCACGGGGGTGGGGGCGGGGGAGTGGCTGGGGGAGTCACCCTTCTGTAGCTTGACCTACACGCAAATGCAAAATAACAACATAAAACATGGTCACACAGAAATAGTTCCATTAAATTGATGCAATTAGAAATATCACTTGACAGAATTATTAACTCATTATTTGTGCAACAACAACAGGAAACATGATACAAGCAAAAGTTTATTATGTGGGACATATATATGAAAATATATGCAGTTAAGGTGCAGGGCTGGTGTCCTGGTTGTTAAGCCTGGACATGGTGATGAAAGCTGCCTTGGGGGCATAACCGATTCCTAAGAGGAATGGCTGACTATCTGAGCTTGCCCCAAGTGGGGAAATGAAATATGACTGCTGACTGAGGTTGGTTTTAGGCCGTTTTAGCAATATTCCAGCAATATCACGGCGGGGAACACCAGAAATGGGCTTCACAAATTGTACCCATGTGGGGAATCGAACCCGGGCCTACGGGCTGACGAGCGAACGCTTTAACCATTAGGCTACCCCAGGGCCCCATGAAATATGAGGTTAAAGGAAGGAAGAAGGAATGTGTGATGGTACCTGTATGGCAGCTGGTGGAGATTTGTTTGTTTGAGTGATGGCAGCTCGTGCAGGTATGTTTTACCTGTATGGCAGCTGGTGGAGAGCCAGCACGTAGGTATGTTTTACCTGTATGGCAGCTGGTGGAGAGCCAGCACGTAGGTATGTTTTACCTGTATGGCAGCTGGTGGAGAGCCAGCACATAGGTATGTTTTACCTGTATGGCAGCTGGTGGAGAGCCAGCACGAGGTATGTTTTCACCTGTATGGCAGCTGGTGGAGAGCCAGTGCATAGGTATGGCTGGTGGATGTGAATGTGGAGTTAAGCGTCCTCAAATCCATGACTGTAAACTTGGAAGTTCGCTAGTGATTCCAAGGTTGAACTGCAGAGAGTACCCCTGATTTATGACTAAAAGAATCAAAGGGTCATCTATGACCTGGCGCCAAGTTTTGTTGAGTCCTAGGCCCTGTCTAATGCTGATCTCTGAAAGGATTCCGAACAACCTGATGGTGGAGGGTGGGATTCTGTAGCAGAGGGAGTAGAGACTCTTCTGCCCCTAGCAGCGCCCCTAAATCTGTTCTGTGCTAGGAGGGCTGAAGCTAACTTTTGACTAAGATTCCTTGAAGTTATAGTACCCTTAGCCTCAATACCTTGCTGACACTGGACATTAAAGGTTGCTGAGGAATCCAATGGCTGTTGAAAGAGCTGTTCCTTGGCCGTTTCTGGTAGATTAACTGAACCTGACCATTGGAATCGTTCCAGGGCAGTCAGTTGACCCAGTGCAGTCACATGATTTTGAGTAGCATCTGATACACATGATAAATGACATCAAGAAAGGAATGCACTAGAGTGGCCTCATGAGCTGACATGGCTACTAAGGTGTCTTTCATAACTCCCGAGTAATCTTGGAAGATAGGTGGCAGTAGAGCACAGACCCCTCAGCAAACCAGTTAACGCAGGATAAGATGTCAACTGCAGATCTAAGTCCTTGATTGGAAAATGGATGCAGGAATGCTTTGTGGCTCAGGAATCCAGTTTCTTAAAGTCTCTGTGCAGCTCTGGTGGATGGGCAGGTATCATTAGGTAGATTAGTTACCGATCTAGCCTTGGACAGTTGAGAGTTGAGAGAATCCAATGCCGAGATGGCTTTGGAGTTCGTTCAGGGGGAAGACAATCGGAAATCCCAGCTTGAAAGGGACTTCAATGTCTGGTTTATCCAAGGCAGCCGGCATAGTGTAAGGATAAAGTCTGTGTATAAGTTCAAACTCACTCGGAATGTCCATTATGGCGTATAGTCTTCCGCAGAATGGTCCATGGAAGGCACAGTTAATAATCATTCTTTCATGACAAGCTCCAGGTGAGAGACAGAGTAAGCAAGAGGGATGATTGGTGGGTTATCTATGTCTATATGCCCTTGTGCTAATGATCCACAACAGCCGGCTGACTGATTGCACGGTTGCAGACCGCTGAACATCAGCCGCACTGCCCGTGCCCGCCGTACCTACTGCGGTAACAGCTTTTTCTCTCTCAGGGCTGGCCCAGTGAACGAGGCTGCGCTGCCGTTGATGTCCAACTCTCCCATGGTACCTGATTAGGGAGTAACAGAATAGCAAAGTTCACATAATTTCCTTCTTTGATTTTCTCGATAATCTGAGGTGGAACCATGTCAATATGAGGTAGACTACCTGAGACAATTCCTTCAGTGGGATACTCCAGTCCAGGTGTGGGGAATCGCTGTGGTTCAGTCGTGTAACGAACGATAATGGGTCTCAGCTCGGTGAGTTCCCTCCTCAAGTCAGCAACGGTACTCTCCGGTTCGACAGACGGAACTGACAAAAGACTCCTGTCTCTGGCCTTACGTACTCTCACATGGTTCGATTTTGCGGCACCCACGAAACTGATTCATGTGGGGCAAAAGTTGGCTGTTCTAGTGAAAGCTGTCTAGATGAATTACGAACCATCCTGTCATAGGGGTACTGCTCATCAGACAAAGGGCTGTAAGTGTCCGATGACGTCACAGTACTAGACTCTACAACCCTCGGTGCTGTCTCCCTCGCCTTGAAGGTGTGATGACAACAGACGCTGGACTAGAGTTTTCTTCAAATAGTTGTGTCCCAATTCAACAACTAGGGTATTTGGAACTCCATCTTCTGCAGTCTTGGTTCCTGTGAGCCGAGGTTCCGATTGGGTGGTTTTCGGGGTCAGCATGGCTGTCCTTTGGGGTCAAAGGTAGCAGAACCCTGTTTTGATTTCTCCTGCTGGAAGAAGTGTTCTGCCATGTCGTCTGACCAGGAAAACTGAAGATGGTTTGGACTGATGATGCGTGGAGGATAATTAGCATGAAACGAGCATGAAACAATGGCAAGCTGGAGCAAGAGGAAGGTCACTTGGTGAACCCAGTGTATATATAGGTACAGTGACGTAATTTCCAATACCGGTAGATAAAAAAACACGAAGAAGGTGAAATGAACAACTTAATGGAATGGGCAAATCATGGAAAATGCAACTAGTTGCTGCACAAATTAAAATATAAATTTACATTTATTCAATAATATTTCACGTTTAACTGAAAATTGTTGATAATCAAATTCTAAAGGTTGGCATTTGGGATTTTCTATCTCAAAACTTACACAAAAAGCTGAAAAAAGTACTTCCCTAATGAGGCAAACGCTTATTTTTATTACCAAAGTGTCTACCCTACAATTTGCAAAAGATAAACATGTTCCTTTAGAGTTTAGAGTTTTTAGCAAAAATTCAGTCTGAATTAACCTCAAACGAGTATAGGATCCATCGAAAGTTTCAACTCTGCTAAGAGTCTCCCAAGTTAGGATTCAAAGCATAGACTCATCTTCTACACTGTGCCAACTTGCCTACTGGATTCAAGGCATTCCATACTTCACCAAGATAATGTATTGTGAGGTTGTTCCCGGTATTTGGACAGCATCGCATGAACGCAACCATTAACAATAGCGTGCGCCTGCACGTGGACTTGTCAACTGTGTCGTGTGATTGTTTCTCAATTGTAGTCAGTCTCGTCTTTGTCTTCGTCAAGTAAACGTCTGTTATTTGTACACCTGTGTTGCGTGTTATGTGGGCCTGAAGACCGTACAGTATTAACCTGCTGTTTTACTCCAAGACTTTGCTCAGAACTGTTGTATTATCTATTGCCTGAATCAAGGGAGATAACTGTTTGAAAACGCAAAAGCAGAAATCGTAACTCACCCGAATGACTTGCACATCAAAGATGAGTGTTGCGTTAGCAGGGATCCTGTTTGGTATCCCTTGACTCCCGTAGCCATAGCTGGGAGGTACAACCAGCAATCTCCGTCCCCCTTTCTTCATCCCGAGGATGCCTGTCTCCCACCCCTGGATAAAAAGCAACCACATACATCAGAATTAATGGTATTCCGCATATTCTCCTTCAACTCAACCATTTCACAATTATTCTGAAATAAGTGAGATGCACATAACGCCTATCACCAATTAGGGGTGGGTATTGCAGAGAATTTTCATATTGCGATATATTGCGAGGCGGAAGCATATATTGCGATATGTATTGCAATATATTGCAAGGATTATTTTTTTAACAAAAACTACTTATCATCGAGTTAATGCTTGATTATAAGCAAAAAACACAACAAAATCACTATGATTGATTAACCGTTTATAAAAACTTTTAATCATGACAAAATAAAAATGTAATTAACATTTGGCACTAATGAAACAGGGAAAAGAACAATTAAAAAAACAGAAATATCCGAAGATTTCCGAGTGTTACGAATTTTTCCGAACGCATGTCAAAATACCGGTTTTCAATCAGCGTATAGCAATACGTATCGTTTTCATGTCTGATCCGGTAAATACCGGTAAACCGGTTATATTGCGCAGCCATATCACCAACAGACTAGGCTGAACGTGCAGTGAGTGAGTGAGGTTAGTTTTAAGCTGCTTTTAGCAGTATTCTAGCAATATCACAGCGGGGGACACCAGAAATGGGCTTCACACATTGTACCCATGTGGGGAATCGATCCCGAGTCTTTGGCTATCCCCCCTTCCCCCGAAAGGAACAGCCAGTTATTCATTACTCCTTATTAAAGACCCTTACTCTTTCATGTGTCGGAGGGGTGGTGAGGTAGCCTAGTGATTAAAGCAGTCGCTCGTCAAGCTGAAAACCCGGGTTCGATTCCCCACATGGGTGCAATGTTTGAAGCCCATTTCTGGTGTCCCCCACCGTAATATTGCTGGAATATTGCTAAAAGTGGCGTAAAACCAAACTCACTCAATCACTCATGTGTCGGATCAGTGATTGTTTTTGTAAAAATCAAAGTCTGGGAAAAATAATCAAAGAAAACAAGTTTCACTGGTAAGAAAACTAAAACCAACAGATTTGTATCAAGAGTACATATAAAACAGTAGTACATCGTTATCTGCAACATGCAGATTCTGCTCTCCTTATTAGACAAAGGTAGATAACTTTGCAATGGCAAAGTCTGTGCTAAGATTCTTGATTCATGGTTGCAATGTATAACATGGCTACCATCAGTCACAGCTCCACACAGAGCGAGGTGCTTTACAACCTCACATGGAGTTGAATGGGATCTGAATGAACAGAAGATTTACAGAGAGTTGGCTGTCATGACTTATTTTTTCACCCATCTATACTGTTTCATTGGTGTATTTGAATTTCTATTTCATTTCATATATCTTGTATTAGTATAGAGTGAATGCAATTGGAAGTTGGACAATTTCTGTTAAAGTTATCTTGTGATCTGGAACAAAACTGATTTAACAAGCAAACTTTAAATAGCAAGTCAGTTGTAACTTTTCACATTTTTTCAGAAGCAAATATACATAATAATACTGAGGTCATAGGGTGAGTGACAAACAAACGCACAACAACAGACATCTGTTTGTCATTTTACGCCGCTCTCAGCAATATTCCAGCTGTATAGCTGCAGCCTGTAAATAATCGAGTCTGGACCAGACAATCCAGTGATCAACAGCATGAGCATCGATCTGCGTAATTGGGTACCGATGACATGTGTCAACCAAGCCAGAGAGCCTGACCACCCGATCCCGTTAGTCGCCTCTTACGACAAACATGGGTTACAGAAGGCACATTCTAACCCGGACCTTCACGGGTCACTGAGGGTATACGATCATGAGGCTCATCTCCACATTGGCGACTGATCAACCACATGAAATATGCCACACTGAGTATTGCGTAACAATTGAGCATTGATTGATGACTATTTTAGATCACGAAACATTTCTCATGTGCTGTGTGCTGATGGGGAAAAGGAATATTGAAAATTTGAACTATAAATTGTATATTTATATACTTATCCTATCTCACGGTATGCACTTGTCTTTCTTGCTTCGACACTGAGTGGAAAATGTTAACTATTCTCCCAAGGCCTCTCTTGTCCCTTCACCCATGCACTGCATGCCGCCCTCCTTATAAGACAGCTTCCCAGCCGTCAACCACAGCATGCAGCACGTCCCACTATCTATCCACGTGACCACCTTTGAATCATCATTCTCATTCTTGGAGCCACTTGGATAATCTTGGTCTTGGATAATCTGCATAGCGGGGAGCTTGGGCGGGAATCCATCACGTGAGATAGGATAAGGATATAAACATACAATATATAGTTAAAATTTTCAAATTATCCTATCTCACGGTATGCACTTATCCCACGGTCGCAATCAAAAAATAAGACAGACATCAGGTTCAGACTTATATTCAGGAAAATAGAGGAAGCAGCAACCGCATGGTACCGTTCCTTATCTGCGTTGTTGGGCCGTGGACCGGTGTTGTGCCAGAACAAGGGGTCCAAACTGGTACAGACCTTGGACGTTCTTGACCGAAAGGTCCCGGAGGTAGTGGGAGGAGAAGGCCGAGTCCGATCGCCAAAAGCACCATTCCATGATGAAGAGAGCGGTTACTGTGCAGAGCCATAGTAGAAGCTAACGCCAGTGTCTCACGCAGACTGGAAGCTGTCAACGGCAGTAATCCAGATAAGGCATAAGCCTGTAAATTGGTGGCCCTCATCCAGAAGGATAAAGTGGTACAAGACACTACCACCCTGGATGTTGTGTGTGTTAGCAGCGGCGATCCTTAGAAGCAGCAAGTAAAAATGGGCAAAACCCTAGCAGGGCAGAGTTTCAGGTGTTCAGTATCATCAGGCCCAAAGATGGTGGACAACGGGGGAATGGAAAACATCCAATCCGGTTGCCCTGGCAGTTGGTTTTCGCGATGAAGTCCGAACGGAAACCCAGGAAAACCTTGCCATGCTTCTTCCGCTCGAACCTCATGCAATTGACATCAAGTGCATGAAGTTCAGATATACGAGCAGCAGTAGCCAAGCTACCAGGAAGAAGAATGTCACTTTGCTCAAAGTCCCTGTCTTCTAAAGGTTTGTAGTCTGTAGAATCATATGATGAAGGACGACAGGCCTGAGGTCTGAACTTCCAGGACTGGTCAGTGAGTTGTAGGAGCGTAGTAGGCTCTGTGGTAGTAGCCAAAACCGAGTTGATAGCAGCCAACTAGGTAGCTAACGTAGTACCCTTGAGTTCCTAGTGGCACAGAGATGCTGGAGGAGCTCAGCGACGACCAGAGCAGAGGCAGACTGGGAGATGGATTCCCTAATTCTTGCAACAGTTTCCAAACTTCTTCCACTATCGTCGTACAAGGAACGGTTTGAAGTACGATGAGCTGAAGTGATAGCTGTGGCTACTTGACAAAAGTAGCCTTAGCAAAGAGTAATCTCTGGAGATGCGCCAACATGGAGATTAAAGGTCTGAAGGGACCCGTGGCATAGTTCCGAGTGAGGGTGAAGAAGCAGTTTGTCCCGGTCGGGAAGCGGTGCTGAGTTTGGCTCTGCCAGGCTTGTTAGGTCGATGAAACAACTACTTGCTGGCCAGAAGTGCGCGACCAAATGCAGTAGAAACTTGCTAGTGGCCAAGAGCTTCTGTAATACTCATGGTAGTAGAGGTGGAGCGGGAAACGCATAGGCGTTGATATTGTCAGCGTGTCGAGGTCCCAAGCCGGGGGGTTGGGATTGATGATACAAACTCCCGAAGTTGGTTGTTGAACCTTGTAGCGAACAGGTCTGCTTGGGGTCGAGATAAAAAATAGATCACAGACTGAAAGATATGGGGAAGCAGTTTCCACTCTGTCGGGGACAGCCGATTGGATCGGGAAAAGGCATCAGTGATCACATTTTACTCCGGCTACGATGTTGAGTGAGTTGATGATATTGAAAAGTCTGATCACCCACTGTAGGGGCTTCACGGAGCCTGTTGAGCCTAGATGGTTTATATTCCAAGCCATGGTCGAGTTATCCGACTGGATCAACAAACTGGTTGATTGAAGCTCTGTTGCCCAAAGAGAGATGACTCAAATTACTGCCTTTAATTCCAGCTCATTTATGTGAGGAACACAGATGAGGAACGCCAGATGACCACAGCACGTCCACTTGGTGGTCGAGAAGTGAGTTCCCCAACCCATGAGGGATGGGTCGAGGAACAAAAGATGAGTTGACATGAAGGACAGCATTCTGCTCGGCTATGCTGATGCTACCCTCTGTTAGTTCGGGCTTGAGCTGACGTCAGCTGCCACTGAGATAGTGCTGGAGGAATGCATGGACCTGTATCGAAGGGCGAACATCATCCTCTGACAGGTGTCGAACAATGTATCGATGAAGTGGAGTCTCTAGATCGATGTTAGCTTCGATAAAGCAATGTACAGTAGCCGCCCTAACTGCCAGAGCAGCATGGTGTTGAACTGCAGTTAGCAGTGAAGTACTATCAGATCCTGTTGTGCCTGGATGCAATCATCAATGTAGCTTCGAAGATGAATTAGCGTCTGAAGTTGACTTCTGTAAGTGAAGGCTTGAGTCTTAGGTGAGGACACCCAGCAACTCTTGCCACCCTTGATAGAGTGCTGAATGTAGTAGACTCAGCACATGGAGATTGTCAGTCAATCTACAGGAACGTGTACAATGTAAACGGGTGATGAAGGTCGTACGGTCGGCGATCTGAGGAACGTAAGTTCACCAAATGAAGTGTTAGTCCGCAGGATGGAGTGATAAATGTAGTAGACTAGACGCATGGGGATCGGGAATCAACCGGAACGTTCGCAAAGTTGATGGAATGACGAAGGTAAAAGAAGACCGGCAACCCCAGGAATGTTTGTTGGGGAGACGAAGGCAGTAAACAAGTGCCCGGTGACTGCAGTGACCTCTGAACTGAGGGTTTGGGCTAAAGTAGAAAACCAGAGTAACCCTAGCCAAAGTTGAAGCGTTCTGGGACGTTTCTGTCCCTCTGGTAAGCTGTCTCTCTCGGCTGGCTGATGAATCCCGACATAATCACTCTTATGGGAATGGCACCGTTCATCGTCATTGCAATTAAAGGCTGGGGTTGTTATCCGCTGTGTAGGACCAAGACAATTCTGTCAGTGCACTTCATAGTCACTCTAAACATCACAATTCTCCGGTAAACAAACAGTAGTCCACCATTTGCAATTGTTACCCACAATGCAACAGTGACAAAAATCCGGACAACACGGTCTTCGGTCACAACCCATAAAAAACGGTAAAGGGATGCTCGCTACTTGACAAGACATCACTGCTGGTACCATGCGCAGAAACTTGATCTATCTGTCCAGAAGCTTGCTGGTGATGTAAAGGAAGGATGATGAAGATGTCGAACTGGGCCATGAATGCACCCGAGATACACCATGACGCTGTTACAAGTTGTCTGTAGTAACAGGACTCAGTGAAGCTTGTCTGGTAATGCACAAACAAGTGGTTGGAGAGCTGATATCTACGCCGGAGAGTAGATTCCTAAACCAAATGATTCATCAAGGTGAAGATAGGATGGTAGAATAAATCTGGAACGATATGAGCTCTAGTCACGTAGAAGTCGTGGAGATCCGGGATTGTCAGAACGTCAAGTGCGGGCATAATGTAAGATGTGTGCTCTACTGACATAGCTACTACCTCCGTTCAACCAGTTGAAAAGGGGTACCAGGTGGGATAAGTCATGTGACTAAAAACTTCTAGCCTCACATGCCGTAGGGTAATCCGGAGAACCAAGTCAGATTGTCATGTTAATAGCATGCCACGTCGTGGTGAGGAATTCAGTGTATCACAAATACCCTGAATAATAACATCGTGTTGAAAGCTGGTAGCGTTTGATTAATAGCTGGGGTAATTGGCCGTATGTAGATGCAAGTTGATGATCCTCGATGAAGATGTAATAAACCAATGTTGACAAGTTCTGATCCTTCAAGTTGAATGTAGTAAGTAGATCATCTGGTATCTCGCTCAAGATAGTTGTAGATGAGTGAGTGAGTATGATTTGACGCCGGATAGCTGTAGAGGGTCGGTGAACCAAGTGATCATGTGTGTCGAATGAACCAACATTATTGCTGTATCTTAAAGGCGGCTGTTGTCCGAACGTCAGCGTATGTACAGATTTGCCAAACCTCAAGGTGCGTTCTGAAGAAACGCTGTGTTGGAAGTAATATCATGCGACAGAAAATAATCGCCGAAGCCTGATGGTTCGGAGAACGTTGTCAGATCGGCGAATGCTGTTAGATCAGCGATCTAGTACGTTCGGTGACCGGGGTCAGTTCAGTGATCTGGCTTGGCGAGGTAAGATCTAGAATGGCACTGTGATCTGGCGAATCGGTTCGGCCTGACGAACTAGTTCGGTGATGGTGGTGAATTGGGTCGGCCTGACGAACTAGTTCGGTGATGAGGTTCAGATCGGTCTGCCAAACTAGTACGGAGATGTTGTGGTTCGGACGAACGAGATGAGCCATTCCTTGAGGTGAAAACAGTTTGGAGATGTCGCGGCGAACCAGCCTGCCGGAACGGTTCGGTGCTGATACATGGATAAGTTTGGTGAACCATGACAGGAAAACAGGATGATCTTACGAAGCAGGTCGATGGCGTTGTTAAGTTCTACCAGGTGAATGCGTTGGGTAAAGTGTCTGGGGAGACATCCCTGACACAAGTAGGGTAATTCCTGATGAACCAGTAGGCTGGGAATCTTCCATGTTGGAAGTTGTACGAGACAACACTGGGGATTCACCGTAAAACGAATCTTATAGATGTGGGAGAAACGAGATTTTGAGCAGGTCTTTTCGACGAGAAAATCTGAATAATGATAATCGGTTGATCCAAACGGTTTGGTGAACCAAGTTTCCTCGTCAAAGAAAAACTAGGAGAGCCAACTGAGTTCGGCGAATCACCAAGAGATGTACGATCTGGCGAAAAGTGTTCGTAGAAAGCTGATTTGTGGGATGCCGTTTCGGTGAATGCTGAATCGTGGAATGCCGGTTTGGCGAATGTTGTTTCGTAGAAAGCCCGTTCAGCGATTGACGGACTGGAGAGGTGCGGTCCGTCGAATGCGATCCGGTGAACTGTGGGTCGAAGAATGTGTTGATTTCGGTGAAACGGATAAAAGACTTATTGGAGCACTGGAGACAGCATCGTATTCACAGAATGGGAGGCAGTCAGCGAAACGACCGAAGGGATGTCACAAAGGTCCTGCAACCGATACGGCAAACTAGTGTGATTCCTTCCACTGTTTGAAGAAGAATGATGACGGGATCAAGGACAGCTTCGACGGATGCGATCCTAGCTGTAGGGAAGTAGCCTGGGGGTGGCAAAACACTCAACAACCACCACACGGGATGTCATCGATGACGAAAGGCTCGTACTGGAAGGCAGAGAGCCGACAAGTTCCCTGAGATCTTCCGATAAAAGCGAAGTCCAAAGAAGCTCTCATAAAATCTTCGTCGCTGAAGTGAGGAGACTGTGACCACCAAGCAATGATAATGGGACGCTAAAACTTGACTTCTTGGCAGGTCTGGGTCCTTCTACTGATGCTGCATATCTGGCTAGATCAGCAAGACGCCGAGTGCAGGCCCTGGAGTAATACCCGAATGCATTTTTTTCCTCTTCCTGGGCTGGTCGGTCTTCCCATGATGTAGAATGGGAAATCAAACGATGAAGTCAAAACACATCCACACTCAGGTGCGACAAGAAAGAGAATGATGATTCAAAGGTGGTCACGTGGGTAGATAGTGGGGCGTGCTGCATGCTTTGGTTGACGGCTGGGAAGCTGTCTTATAAGGAGGGCAGCATGTAGTGCATGGGTGAAAGGACAAGAGAGGCCTTGGGAGAGAAGTTTACATCATTCCACTCAGTGTCGAAGCAAGAGAGAGAAGTGCATACCGTGAGATAGGATAAGTTTAAAAAAGTTAAAAAAACATTCATACTTTTTCCATTTTTGATGAAAACAGAATTCAGAAGGATCGTGACCCAATGAATTAAAACTACGAACTAAATGAGCTGATTCCCACATCTGTGTCCTTACCTTGATAACTTTTCCCTTCCCAAGCTTGAACCTGAACAGTTTTTCTGAAGTAGCATTGCTGTCAAAAACCTGCAAATGAATTCAGAAATATAATCACTTTAAACATTACATACTTAGAATCTTCACTTTATTCCCTGTTCTCCTACTCTATTCAACCAGAACAAATAACATAAAATACTTAACAATGGTATAAGCAGCACCAGGGATTCAAATTTTTTAAAAGCCACAAGTGATTTTAAGAAAGTAACTTGTTCTGACTAATTTCCACTTACCCCGATTTTTATGACATAATCATGATGATGTAATTATGAAAGCATGTTTACTGGACGATTTATCGAGAAGTGATAAATAGCAAAGAAAGATAACTAAGTTTATTATCATTGTGAAAATTACTTCATTTCGTTCTTGCATTGTGTCAAATGTTAATAGCTAAATTTTGAGCAGATATGAAATGAAATCCAAGTTTATTTGCAGTTTGAAACCGTAAGGAGAAATTATATAGTAGCCCACGGACAAGTAAGATACCATTATTTGATCGCCCGAAATGAAAACTGACTTGTCCCTGGCGTCAGGCGATGGGATTTTTAAACCCCTGAGCACAGTGTTTCCGTTTCAATCCCTCTGGTCTTGGTCCTACTTGCACAAAGTAATCAAAGCACTGCGATGGTCATAACTCCCATACTCTAACACAGACATAAGAAGGTCTTAGCGCTAACATAACTTTGTGATTGATTCCGGGTTAGAATGTCCCAAACAAGGATACTCTTTTCTCACAAGGTGACTAAACTGATGAAGAAGTCAGACTTTTTGATATGGTTAATTGCATGCTCACTGATGTATTTGATAACATAGATACTCTACTTAGACTCAATAGACTGACTTCAGAGGCCCAGATAAGCTGTGTATCCAGGTAAAATACGCATAGACAATTTCCAATTACGCGTTGAAAAATAATTGTTGCATACCAATTACGCATTTAAATTGTTAGATACGCAAAGAGTTTAAAACAAATGCGTACGGAATATACTTATAAAAATCGCTTGCGTAATGAAAAAGACATCGATTGCTATCAAGTTGTACTGTTAGTATAGGACAAGTGTTGTACTGTCAGTATAGGATGAGTGATTTTTTATGAAATCATTTCCCTTATATTTAAGTTGGTTTTGATTAGGTATGACATAAGGCAGAACATACCTGCTTAGTAAACTTACTCAATGACACAAAACTTAGGTGTGTAAAATGACTGAAATACGCACATATTTGAAAGCAGTGGGTAACGGAAAATGATATACCCACTCAACATTCACAATACCCACTCCAATAAAATACAGTGGGTACAGTACCCACATTAGCTAAATCTTATCTGGAGCTCTGGACTTAATGCTGAGCAACTGAAAAGGTAACAAGAAATGCCATTATGGCTGGGGAATTAACCACAAGCCTTCACCTCCACAGGCATAAGTACAATTGAATTAAGTTGTATATGGCTAACCTGTCCATATGTGTTGTTTGTCATAAGCCAGCCAGTGTATTTGATTTCTGCTGAGTCATCAGGTTCCAGCGGTCCGCCGTCCCCCAGAGTTAGGTCCTGGATCACAACGCTGTCCAGGGCCCCACTGGTGCTGTTAGCTTTGCACAGCGCCACCTGCAGGGGACACAATGGTATGAGGAATATGAAATCGTTGCTAACATTTTAATTGATAATTGATCTAACACATGGTATATATAGTCTTTGCCTACTGCAGACACCTTTGAAAGAGAACAAAGACGACTTTGTGTCCTTCCGTAAGGCAGACTGACTGACTGACTGACTGAGTTTGGTTTTACGCCGCTTTTAGCAATATTCCAGCAATATCACGGCGGAGGACACCAGAAATGGGCTTCACTCATTGTACCCATGTGGGGATTCGAACCCGAACCCGGGTCTTCGGTGTGACGAGCCAACGCTTTAACCACTAGACTACCCCACCGCCCCTTCCGTAAGGCAGACAGGTTAGTCTTTTATCATTATTTGCTGTACCCGTGAAGGTCCGGGTTAGAATGAACCTTCAGTAACCCATGCTTGTCGTGAGAGGCGACTAACGGGATCGGGTGGTCAGGCTCGCTGACTTGATTGACACATGTCATCGGTACCCAATTGCGCAGATCGATGCCCATGCTGTTGATCACTGGATTGTCTGGTCCAGACTCGATTATTTACAGACCGCCGCCATATAACTGGAATATTGCTGAGTGCGGCGTAAAACTAAACTCACTCAGTCATGAGATGTAATGTGGTATATCAACCAAACTCATCAACTGACATGTACAGGAGGTAATATCTAGCACAGAGGATCATGTCATACTTACATCCTTTGCAAATTTGATGATGGTTTCTTCTTTGTCAAACATCAGAGACCAACTCTGGCGGCCTTCATCATAAAAACTTGCATAATTGTTGGCCTGAACCTGTAAACAACAGCAGAGTTAGAGTGAGATTTACAGTGGGTTTTACAGTGAGTGTTAGATTCAGTGAATTTTATATTGTAAGAGAGTGAATGAGCAAGCATTAGAGTGAGTGTTATTAATTTAATTGTATAATATTTGTAACAGCAACACACAAGGATTAAGATCAGGGTGAATTTTGGATTCATGACACGATCAGTGGAACCTGATGTTGGGTCATGGATCCCATCAGGGAACTGAGAGAGAGAGATAGAGAGGGGTGAGGTGAAATTGGGTTTAACGTAGTGCTTGAAAATATTTCGCTCATATGACGACGTGCATGCGTGTGTATGTGCGGCTGCTTGTACTAGCCCAGACTTAAGCTGGTTTTATAGTGCTAGCCCACTGAGACACCATGCCGCGGTGAAGCATGAATACCCCACTCAGACACATTATACTGACTCCGAGCCGACCAGTCCTTGTTGTACCCATTAATGGCGAGCGCCAGGCAGGGACCAACAAGTACCATATTTTAACGTCTTTTGGTATGACGTGGTCAGGGATCGAACCCGCGACCTTACGCTCTCTGGACGGACGCTCTAACCACTACACCACGGAGGCGGTCAGAAAGAGAGAGGGAGGGAGGGGGGAGAGAGAGGGGGGAGAGGGAGAGGGAGGGAGGGATCTACCACAATGCTCCTCCCTGCACTGTCAACAGAAGGGGCGGTGGGGTAGTCTAGTGGTTAAAGCATTGGCTCGTCACCCCGAAGACCCGGGTTCGAATCCCCATATGGGTACAATGAGTGAAGCCCATTTCTGGTGTCCCCCGCCGTGATATTGCTGGAATATTGCTAAAAGCGGCGTAAAACCATACTCAGTCAGTCAGTCAGTCAACAGAAACAGCTGGTTAAGCCAAGCCACCATAACTTGTAGGATAGATCTACGTGACAATGTCCTTACTCTGAATGTAAATGCTGGGCTGATCTTGGCATTGGTGACTTGTTGTTGCTTGCTTACATACAGCAGGATGCGATACTGAAAACAAAGTGAAGAGAGTCAAAAGAACTGAGTTAGCAGTGTGTGACACAAGTCACTTTTCAAGTCTGCTTGGTGTAGTTATCGCTGCTAGGAATTCTCTAATAACCACATTAAAAACTACGCTGGTTTCCCTATATCTATTGGAAAATTCTTCCACAGTTTATTAGTCTAGAAACTTGTAAATCAGAATGCTTTCAATGAGTGCAAGATTTGACTGTACATGATGCAGACTTTCATTAAAAACATAAATCCAGTCATATTTCTTTGAAAATAGAATAACAACATCTAAACATGCAATACATCTAAATCTTTAGCTAGTATTTTACTGACTTTTCCTGTTGATTTGCAACATGTCTGTTCATTTAATTGATATTCCCCTTTAAAAATGTCAGATATATACAGCTGTTTAACACCACACTCAGAAATATCTCAGCTCTATGACAGCGGTCTGTAAATAATCAAGTACGGACCAGACCATCTAGTGATTGATATCATATCATTAGTCAATGCAATTGGGATATGATCAGAGCTCCAGATAAGATTTAGCTCATGTGGGTACTGTACCCACTGTATTTTTGGGAGTGGGTATTATAAATGTTGAGTGGGTATTTCAATTTCCGTTACCCACTGCTTTCAAATATGTGCATATTTCAGTCATTTTACTCACTTAAGTATTATGTCATTGAGTAAGTTTACTAAGCAGGTATGTTCTGCCTTATGTCATACCTAATCAAAACCAACTTAAATATAATGGAAATCACATCATACTGACAGTACAACACTTGCCCTATACTGATAGCAATCGATGTCATTTTCATTACGCAAGCGATTTTTATAAATATATTCCGTACGCATTTGTTTTAAACTTTTTCGTATCTAACATTTTAAATGCGTAATTGGTATGCAACAATTATTTTTCAAAGCGTAAATGGGAATTTTCTATGCGTATTTTACCCGGATACGCAGCTTATCTGGGCCTCTGATGATAGTTATGAGTAAGCCAAATTAGCGAGCCTAACTACCCAATTCCATTAGTCACCTCTCATGAAAAGCATGGGTTGTTGACAGTCAATTCTAGCCCAGATATTCATGAGTAGTTTGAAAGTCACACAATGTTTGGGATGCCAGAATGTATTCCACAGCATAAAGCTGACTGGGTCAGTCTAGGCAGTTCTTGCCCATACACCCAGAAGCTACACACAATCAAGAAAGCCACTCTAAAACTAGAGTCCTCAAACTCGTAAGTATAATTGATTGCAGTTGTCCATAGCATCATACAAAGTTTCTATTATATCAGTTTTGAGTTAATAAATGAAGACTTACATCTTTTGTTGCATGGTTACCGATGACAGCCATGCCTAGTTTCCCCTGACTGGAATACTGGTTCTCCACACTGTAACAAGAAAACAGGCTCCACATAATAGGAATACCATTAAATACAGATTCTACATGATGGGTAAAGGCCTGACTTTCTATGTATTTTAATTTGTTTCTATGACTAACTTTCATGCCATTTAAGACAATTTGTTGCTTTCCAATGTATATTGATTTTCATCAGTACAATTTTGCAGCAAACGGATTATAGTCTGTTTGTTCTCCTAAAGGAGGTGAGGTGAAATTGGGTTTAACGTCGTGCTTGAGAATATTTCGCTCATATGACGACGTGCATGCGTGTGTATGGGTATGTGCGGCTGTTTGTACTAGCCCAGACTGAAGCTGGTTTTATAGTGCTAGCCCACTGAGATACCATGCCGCAGTGAAGCATGAATACCCCACTCAGACACATTATACTGACTCCGAGCCGACCAGTCCTTGTTGTACCCATTAATGGCGCAGCCAGGCAGGGACCAACAAGTACCATATTTTAACGTCGTTTGGTATGACGCGGTCGGGGATCGAACCCGCGACCTTCCGCTCTCCGGGCGGACGCTCTAACCACTACACCGCGGAGGCGGCCTTTCATAAAGGAAAAGAATATGCAGCGTATAACACTATATTTGTCAGCTGTGCAAAACACTAAGACAGGAGAATGTTAAACATAATCTGAAAAATTGATTAAAATAAAAAATAAATTCTTTTGCATGTTATGTACAACAATATCTGAAAAAATGTGAGTGAGTTCAGTTTTGTGCTGCTTTAGCAATATTCCAGCAATATCACAGTGGGGGACACCAGAAATGGGCTTCACACATTGTACCCATGAGAGGAATCGAACCCGGGTCTTCAGCCACTAGGCTACCCCACTGCCGCCCAAAAATATGAGGTTAAGATGGTGAGGTGAAGTTGGGTTTAACGTCGTGCTTGAGAATATTTCGCTCATATGACGATGTGCATGCGTGTGTATGTGGATGTGCGGCTGCTTGTACTAGCCCAGACCTAAGCTGGTTTTATAGTGCTAGCCCAATGAGATACCATGCCGCAGTGAAGCATGAATACCCCACTCAGGCACATTATACTGACTTCGAGCTGACCAGTCCTTGTTATACCCATTAATGCCGAGAGCCAGGCAGGGACCAACAAGTACCATATTTTAACGTCTTTTGGTATGACGCGACCGGGGATCGAACTCGCGACCTTCGGCGTCATGAGGTTAAGAAGTGAATAATAATGATAATAAATGACAAAGGTAACTGTGAATGATACTGACTACTTATAGGCGTGAACTACTGTAGCACTGAGGATGGCGGGGGCAGCTCCTCCTTCTGGGCTGGCTTCTGAAGACAAAACATAATCCATTTGGTGAAGTTGTAACTGATTACCAAGGAAATAAAATGACATCTTTAGGTAGGGCTGGCTAAACAAGCTGATAATCGGAAATATTGTCACTTGGAAAATAACTAATGATTACGATTCGAGGAAATAAAGTCTTAACGTACTCACACAATACATAAAGTTATGTCCTCATTCATGGACTGCTACTAAATTATGTTCACAACGCTGTTTTGTCAGTAATGCATGCATAAATGTGTCGGAATGGTCAATGATTCAGGGGGGACATCGTATGATGGTTCTCGTCCGATAGCGTTATCTTTTTACCACCGCTTAACTAACTAAAATAACGCCGTCGTAGTGATGTGAGCCAGAACCGCTATCGTGTATACTACTGGTTATCAGCTTTCTAGAATGTCAACCAGTGGTCGGTTATAAAATATTTCATGCTAGGGTTGGTTGGTTGTTTTTTCTTTAACGTCTTACTCAGCAATATTCCAGCTATATGGCGGCAGTCATATGTAAATAATTCAGTCTGGACCAGACAAGCCAGTGATCAACAGCACGAGCATGAGCATCGATCTATGCAACTGGGATACGATGACATGTGTGAATCAAGTCAGCAAGCCGGACCACCCTATCCCATTAGTCGCCACTTTCAACAAACATGGGTAAATGAAGATCAATTCTAACGCGGATCTTCATGGGTATGTTCATGTTAAGAGCAGAGCTCCTGGACCTTTATGAGTAACACAAGGGCTCAATTCATATGCTGACTTAACATTTGCACCATCAATACAAAGTGAACATATGCCTGTTTTTTTATGGTTCAGCGATCTTCTTGCAATATTGCAACGGTTTGTGCAAAGTCAAGTCTGCTGTTAAAGGGTCATAAAAAAGTAAGAAAAATCTTATATCAATAGAGAAAAATGAAAAAAACAAACCTGTGCATCTAGTGCAGTTTAACAGCGACAACCATGTAGCAAAACATTGTAATTGATAATTAATCATCTAAATAATCAGTCATTACAGTCATTATTTGCAGAATGCAGAAACCTTTCATACCTTTTTTCTTTGGTTGTTTGGGCGCTGTGTATGTCAGAGACTCATTACCTCCCTTGTTGCTTGCCTTATCCATACCAAACAAGTTTGCAAGTTTGGACCTGTGAACAGTGTAATGAAGAAGACTTATTGTAGCCAAGATGGCAAAGACAGTTTTTGTTGTTTTGCAAAAGAAATAAAAAGAAATCTAAGAACAAAGCCTACAATATCCCCCCCAGTTTTTAACATGTTCTTTCAATCCAAAACTAATGTATATTATATGTTCATGCCAATAAGTATCATCAAGATAAATCCTGGTGAATTCAAATCATTATGATAAGAACACAAATCACTTCAACCAAAGACTTGGAATCACTGGAACTTTATTGATTCTGGCAAATGCAGATATCTTTATTTGACTGTCCTACGTTATAAAGCACAACAATTCTGGAATTAAACTTAGACTCATCTTCTTTGATAAGCATTGGTTACCGCAGACAAATTCTACCCTGGAACAGTCTAAAGAACGTATATACACCTTGTAGTGCAATATCCGTGTAGTGAGTGAGTGTATATGGTTTTAAGCAATATCACTTTTAGCAATATTCCAGCAATATGAGATATATGGGCTTCACATTTTGTACTCATGTGAGGAATCGAAGCCAGGTTTTCAGTGTAACAAGGAAAAGCTTTAACCACTGGACTATCCCACCACCACCCATGTGTGGTATAATACCTGGTCTTTGGTATTACAAACACTTTTAGCACCTGCCAACTACATTTCCCATTTAACATGCTAAATACACCGCAGTGTATTATTCAATGGCCTCAAAACCAAAAAGTCATAACAGCTACAAAAACGTTAAAATGACTACAAACCCATTTTCAAAAGAAGTAAAAATACATAACCATGATAACAGCCACAGGCAAAAATTCAAATTGGCCACAATAATAACACATGAACATCCAATGGATGTGTACATGGTGTACAGAGAAAATGTTAAAGGTTTCACAGAATTCTTGTTACCAATAACATTGGCAATGTCCTTAAGAATTGTGTATAATACTATCAATTAATGTCACTAATTGAGTTGGTTGTCTTTAACATTGTATGCAGTTGTTTTGACTTTTTGCAAAACTTTCACGGTAGATCGAATTTCAACTTTCATGGCCGTTCTGGCATGAGGCTGTTTTGACCGAGACCCCCATTCAACAATGTTCAACAATATCGATTGGCATCTAGTTTTTTTTTCAGGTTATTTAAGACATAATAGAACTTTCTGAGCAATCTGTAACGTAGAATATTTATCCATCTAATATTGTTTTACATAGTATTTTAACATGCCACTAAAACATAGGAAAAATAGGTTATCGGTACGTCATACGTTTTCATGGGGCAGTGTTTCTTCAAATTCTTGGCTGCATGCAGAAAGGCGATGCATTCTAAATACTCGGATGACGGCTTGCGTTTAAGATAAAGTTGTTATTTGTAAGTGAGTGACATGTTTTACGGTTGTTCATGTGACTGGAGAGAAATCAGCGGATGTCTTTAGCGTCCGAAAACCCAAAACACGATGATACATAATTGTGTACAAAATCTGTCACCCACGGATGTCACACCCCCTCGTGTTGAGAGAAGTGTCTGAAGCGTGTAGCGTTCATTTTGATTGTCAGCACATACCCTCCTCCTCCACCCGACATAAAATCTTGATCCTCATCGTCTGCATTGAAAAACATGGCGGAAACTACTTCATAAATAGTTATTTATCCAAAGTTGAAACTTCGAGTTTCTCTGATCATGAGACTTCCTTCATGACACACATAAAGATATATAGATATAGTTTCGAATGATTTGATGCAAGTGTTACAATAAAATAAGAAAGAGTGGAATCTGATTAAAGAAATATTTATAAAATAAGAGAATAAGTCTTATAATGAAAGTTGCCCATTCTTCTATTTTGAAGCGAAATCTTTCGAATACGCAGCGAATGTAAACCCATTTCCGGTTGTCAATTTCCGTTCTGAAAACGTGAATGAAAACATCTAAAACAAACATTATTTTCAAAGTGTACGAGTAGAGTTTTGGTATTTACAAAGTTGTATAATGTGCTCATAAAGTATCATGTGACTCTTCAAACTTTATTAATTCTTTGGCACCAATAAATTATTACAGATTGACACCTGCCAAGGTCTCGAAGTGGGTGTGGCTTATTTTACGACGCTGTTCTACCAGTCCTGTTTAAAATAATCAATATTTGAACACTGTGCTGTCAAAGTGTTAAATTACTACTCTGTTATTATATATCTGTGTCAATTGAGAACGAAAACTGATATTTTAGCTGTATCATTTCGGGGCGACTTCATAGAGCATATCCTTGGCGGATGTGATTAGCTGACATTCACGTGACGTAGATGCAGATCACCCGTGTCAGGTCACCGCAAGAGAACCTGTTCGTTGATAGACAGCTGAGTCCATCTAAGAAGGTGCTCTTAGTCTGATTGGACGTGGGATACTCTAGACTCTTAAGCTTTGACAGAGGAATCTGATTTCTATTACATTTGCTCTTCTCAAGTTGAAATCCACGACCCTCAACAGTAAACATGGTAAGTAAAAGTCCTTTCAGATAGCAATACATTATTGTGCTACCGTCTTGACTGCCAAGCAGATATCATTATCAGTATGTTTTCTTATTTGAGTACAGAGCTTAATGCCTTGTGATTATGATGTTGAATTTTTTTTGTAGAGATAAGAACCATGTCAGTTTATATAAGAAAGATGAAATCAACTCTTTAATGTTTTGCTGAAAGGATTTTACATCACACAATGCTACCATACGACATCTAACAGACCACATTTATTATTATCAAAAGTATTAAAAAGTCCCTGTAATAGTCATACATTCTTATACTGAAAGACTGAACATCAAATACTCTGTTCAAGTGGATATATAGAATAGCTAATGTATCAGGCACATGACACTGCATGTATTAATGGCAGAAACATGTAGGAGGTGACTAAATTTAGATACTTTTTTGTTTCTAAAGTTTACTTTAGAAATCTTATATGTGTTAATGTTGAAATAGAGTTGTATGAGATTGTTTAACATATGTTACATGTTTGACCAGGGATAGAAATTATCACTGACATGGAAGCCCAAGCCAGTTTCAATAATTCTAAGGTTGTCCTGAGAGTTGATGAATTAGGAATGATTTTGGAGTGTCGGAGAGGTAACGTGTACTGTTCGTGAGATGGGTGCGCTCTGCGGTACTAAGTGAAGCGCTTGACCCTAATTAATTCAATCACTGTGGAGCTAACTCGATCGGGCGTGAACACGGGGCCAGTACTATTGTCTTGTTTAATGTCCATTCCTGTAAACATAGTAAACATTCAGTAACTGAATGTCCATGCTGTTTAGTGATTATCAAAATTAACAGATTTGTCTCTCCTGATCCCTTCTGATTTTGTGGTCTGTACGTGCTACTTTCAAATTACAATACACAATATTGAAACATACAACTGTACGGATGACAATTTCTTCATCCATAAATTCGTATGCTTCATCAAAAGACTACAATATACTACAATCAAAAAACTACAATACACAATGCAACTACATCAGCACATGCTCCATTTGGTAAAGCACTGATGGCTTTAGCAAAACTTAAATATGTAAACATTTTTATTATGAGGAACATAGTGTTTTGGAGTATATTCTTATTCCTTCATCTGGTGAAAGAAGTTGACATCCATAAATCTTCATCTCTTTTGTGTATCAATGCTGTAAAAAGACTTTAGCAAATTTGAAGGACTGTGGACAGTTTGAGATTTATAGCTCATCAATGATGACAGTCCATGGATTCATCATTGGATCTTTACTTGCCCCTCAGGACGTTAAAATATGGTACTTGTTGGTCCCTGCCTGGCGCTCGGCATTAATGGGTACAACAAGGACTGGTCGGCTCGGAGTCAGTATAATGTGTCTGAGTGGGGTATTCATGCTTCACTGCGGCATGGTATCTCAGTGGGCTAGCACTATAACCAGCTTAAGTCTGGGCTAGTACAAGCAGCCGCACATACACATACACACGCATGCACGTCGTCATATGAGCGAAATATTCTTAAGCACGACGTTAAACCCAATTTCACCTCACCTCACCTCACTTGCCCCTCAGGACAATTTAGCCATCTTGGGTTCTCAGACCAAATTCTGAAAACTCTCATGTATGTTGCGTGTGTAATTTGTTTTAAACCTGACTTGAAATGAACCCATACACATTGGACTTCCTCTACACACGTGTGGCGGTGGGGTAGCCTAATGGTTAAAGCGTTGGCTCGTCACGCCGAAGACCCGGGTTCGAATCCCCACATGGGCACAATGTGTGAAGCCCATTTCTGGTGTACCCCGCCGTGATGTTGCTGGAATATTGCTAAAAGCGGCGTAAAACCAAACTCAGTCAGTCAGTCTACACACGTTTGACATCTAATGAACTTCATTCACCATTTTTAAGGATTTTGCTGTGATCACAATGACTATGTGTTAGACACATTTTATACAGGAAGCTGTTGTCAGTGGTGTTGCCATTTCAGTTACAAGAATCAAGCTGTTATTTTATGTATTTTTCCTATTCCCTATCCCTAATTTCATTTATGTAAATTTGGCCAACAAAATGAGAATATTCATGCAGTATACATATTTACTGGCATTTAGATCAGGGAATACTATTAAAATTAGTATTATACTGGGAAGGACACATGTACCTCCGAGTATTAACATGGTGGATGTTGGAGAATCGGTTGAAAACCATACAAACTATGAGTGCATTTACAATAGTCATTGAAACTGATTTTATCCCCTTGTACGTCAAAATGCTTGTTGTTTTTTTCTGTTAGAATTCTAAAGGGCTGGTATATCAGACATACTGTATTCATTGCTACTCGTAGTAACTATAGATTATTACCGTTACCATAGAAACAGGTGATCAGCTGATACAACTGATAGTATGGTGAAAGGAACCCCTACAGTGTTGTCATTGTCATGGGAGGCTTTGATAATATCTTTTGTTGTTTTAGTTTCAACTGTGAATAGGTGTTCATTTGTCAGATGTTTGTCAATGTCACATGCTGCAAGTTTTCTTAGTGGTCGGATGTGTACACAACTATTACAATGCGTACATCATCATACAGACTGCTGGCTCAGTCATCATGAGACGCGTGTGTATTTTTTGTGTTGTGATAAAGCCGCAGTCATAATAATAATAATAATCATCATCATCATCATCATCATCATCATCATCATCATCATCATCATCATCATCATCATCATCATCATCATCATCATCATGTAAAGAATCAAGGGACTTAATATAAAGTTATTTAATTTCTGTCTGTACAGGCAGTGAGATGCTTATTTTAGACTAAGGGTTTGAGAATGTTGAGTTTTTGCCTTGTCCTACAAAACTGGGGGTCAAGAGGACTTACAGGACATATGAGTGGCTTGTAAAGTAATTGAATAGTGTCGTCTACAGGACTGTAAGGTGTAATAATTTAATTTATCACAGGAACTTCACATTTCTTTTTGAGAGTTTTTACAGTGAATATTATTATGCAACTCTCATGACACATATATTTTCTGTGTCCATTCAATTTATTTGTTGGTCCTGGATCAGCATCCTGATGATGTAATGAATCATCTGTTTTGGCCTTGTAGTGCTGTTGTCATGGTCTTGATTATCAGGGTGTTCATGGTCTCTTGTGTTTTCTTGTACATATACTTGATTGACAGAGAAGCAATAGCACCAGGACGTAGCCGTCATGCTCCTTCAAACAGGATGTAACATGTAGGTTTGTTGAGTTATGTTAGCATGTTAGGTTAAGGGGATAGGTGCAGTGAGGGGCAGACACCTAAATCTCAGTAATTCATAGCTTGTTTGCGACTGTATGTTTTTGTAAGATGTTTGGGAATTTCTGTTCACAATGTGGTTCAGGTTTCTTGAAGTGGAACATAGATTTTTTAGGTTCTTTTGTAGACTTGTCCAGGACGATATTAAATTATTGGCTAGAATGCATTATACCGGATACCTAGCAGGGTTAGGTTAGGGATTAGGGTTAGGGGGTAGGGTTATTTTGATCTCAGTTTTATATTTTTCACCTTTCCGCGCTCGCATCACGCGACCTAATTAAATATGGCAGGCAGGTATCCGGTATAATGCATGTGTACCAAATTATTGTTCCTCTGAGTTTGTAGCTGGTCCTGCTTGAACAGACAAAAGTGTTTGTGCTCCTTCAAATAGGATGTAACATGTAGGTTTGTTGAGTAATGTTAACATGTTAAGTTAAGGGGCAGGTGCTCAATACAGGTATTCTTCAGGGTTCATGAAAGTGGCAGCTTTTATGTTTTGGGTTGTCCAGGACAATAGTAAATCTTATTTCATTGTTCCTCAGAGTTTGTAGCTGGTCCTATTGAACAGACAAAAGTTTTTACGATGTTTACATTTTCTGACAGTTTCATTCAATTCTGTTCATAAGTAAACTTAGGGGTGGCCGGGTAGCCTTGGTGTTAAAGCGTTTCGCTCATCATGTCGAAGACCTGGGTTCAATTCCCCACATGGGTACAATGCGTGAAGCCCATTTCTGGTGTTCCCCGCCATGATATTGCAAGAATATTGCTAAAAGCAGCGTAAAACTAAACTCACTCACTCATTATGGCTATCCCTTCACATCAATCTGACACATTGTATATAACTGTAGTACTGTCCTGGGATTGAATCTATTGTTCTAAGTGCCGCTACCAGCTGTCTCCAGGACACTTAGTCATAAAGATGACTGGTTGATTTCTGCAAGAACAATCCTTTTGATCCATCCTTGAATTCAATGAATGACAGCGCCAGACAATGATGTACGTGCTACAAGAAGCTGTAATTCAGAAAGATTGCCCTCTGCTTTCTCATTGCATGTGCATTGGATGATACCATTTCTTCTGATTCCTTTTGCATCACAATCTAGGCAACACATATATTAGATTGGTAAAATGCACATTGTAAATACACGTTGACACAAGTTGCACAACACCATTAAGATATACAATGTAATATATATGCATGTTTGTACAAATTCAGAGGACTATTATTACCTTGTTATGTTACTAAAAAAAATAAATAATGTTTTGAGTCACTGAGTATTTACCATGTTTACCAGAGTATTTACCATGCTTTTCATTGATTATTCAATTATATTTGATATCTGTGAAGGTCTGGGTTAGAATTAGTCTTCAGCAACCCATGCTTGTTGTAAGAGGCGACTAACAGGATTGGGTCGTCAGGCTCACTAACTTGGTCTACAGGACATCATATTCGGGTTGTGTAGATCAATGCTCATGACGTTGATCACTGGATTGTCTGGACCAGACTTGAATATTTACAGACCATCGCCCCATATTGCTGAGTGCGGGATTAAACAACAAACAAATTAAAACAAACTAACATCATTCATATTGGACATTGATGCTCTCACATTGATGATTCAGTATGTTTGATACAGTATATTGGGTATTTTCACACCAGGAAGGACACATATGGGATAATTTTGATGAAATGATGTTTGTAAT